GGGGGGTAGCTGGGCCAGATCATGGCCAGATGAAGAGTGTTTGATTAAAGAGGAAAAAATATGACAAAATGAAATTATTTGTGTTTTATTAAAACAGGAAAGTTCACACATAAAATGTTTGATCATAAGAACACCATCATAAAGAACATAAAACAATTTTAAGGACTAGTATTCATTACACATCGATAAATAACTAGATTCATTAGTTAAAATGATAAAAAATCACAATTAGAATCACAACTTGAAACTATCACCATTAAAGAGAGTGATTCAAACAACTTAAAAGATTAGGAACTGAGTTTGTAAACACACAAAAAAAAAAAAAAATGTTTCTTGAAGGGTGCTGCATAGTTTACTCTGCAGCGTACCAATTTGGGTGTTTGATCAGGAGTCTCGAGAACCTGAAAGTCTTAAGCAATTGCTTTTTCTTTGGCGACAGCTGAAGTATAACAAAAGAAGTAGTTAGCAGAAAGTTCTCTATACATGAAAAGAAATTTAGTTTAGGTACAAGTATTGACTGTCGTTTACTTACTGTGGATTGCCTGCAGTGCAACAGGGCACAGACTGGAGCGCTGTGTGTCAGGCTTCCCCAAGGGTCCTTTCGCAGGATTGCCCAACACACTGCACTCTCTCAGCACTTCCTCCTTGAAGACTCCTTTGCAGAGGAGCCGTGCTGCACTTGAGTGGCTCTTTGCCGCTGGCCCCATAGCCTTTGCTAAAGCACTTGTGTTCATGTAGATCCCAGAATGCTTCAAGATTTCTTGGACCTGAAACAAAGCGTGACTTAAACAGTTGATACTAACTTGTTAAGAAGCAATACCAGGAAATAATTACCTCATCACTTGGTTCTGCATGCAGCAGCTGTTTGTAGTTAATTAGCTTTTTTTTTTTCTTTATCAGAGTTTTGTCGTCCTCACTGGAGCAGGAGGTGTCATCAGAACTACTGCTGTCTGAGGAGCTGCTGCTACTACTAGAATGCTTTCTTTTAGACTTCTTACTCTTCTTGCTTTTCTTGCTCTTTTTCTTGTGTTTCTTAGTTTTTTTCTTCGATTTCTTCGATTTTTTTGATTTCTTCTTCTCTTTCTTTCCTTGTTTCTCTTCGACAGGCTTTACATCATCCTCCTCAGTTTCTTGACCACTTTCAGGCTTGAGAACAGGGTGTAATTCCCGTGACTCCTTCATTTCAATATGTGTGGCATCCATGTATATATCTTGTTCACCAGGGACAAGAGTTGTGTCCATATTGTCATTTTCAACTGAATTGTCAGGTACAGTGCTATCCTTAGCTACATCTGAAATAAAGTAACATTTAGTACAGATAATATTTGTACAACATAAGGGAAAATATAACTCATCTGTGTCAGTTTGAAGTTTGATACATACCATTTTGCTGATTCGAAGAAGCTATTTGCAAACGCAACTTAAATATTTCTTGCTGCATTTTTTTCTTACGGGGAGTCATTTCATCGTCTGCGCAGCCAGGCAAAATGCTCTCTTGCACTTGCTTAGGAGATTCTAATTGCTTGGGAGATATCTCTGGCTTAGGAGAATTGTCTGTCTCACGAGATTTGCATTTACTTGAAGTAGCCTGTTGTACTTTTGGGGTAGAAGTGGGGACGTCCTTTAATTTTTTTATCCTCTCAATGTTCGCTAGAGCAACTTGTCTCTCAAGCTGTGAGCTAGGGTTAGGTTTCACACCACACTGGAATGCAAATATAGACAGTATTGTATGAAAAAGCCATGCAGAAATCTTACAATAGCAAAATATAAGGATATTGAATGGACTTGATGTAGGTTAAAAATGCTGCTCAATCATTCAATCTGAACGTAATAAATCGAGATACTAACCTCCTTCTTTGTAGCATTGCCTTTCTTGGGAACTCTTATCTTTGGTTTCTTGGCCTCTCTTTGTTTGCGGCACTTCTCGTCCAGTTCTTCGAACAGAGAATCGTCGTTCTTCTTTCGCTTTCGCGTACGCTTGGGCCTGCTGTTGATCTCAGAGCCTGCTTCCGAAATCGTGCTAGCCACCGACGCAGTCGTAGTTTGGGACGAGTCTTGGAAAAATTGTAACATAATCGTACATTAGTTAACACTCAAAATCACCATAGGAATAGAAGCAGTTTCTGTAGATGTGCGAGGCACCTGTACTGCACTAACCCAAATTTCAACATGAAAACCTCTTTCAGGCAAGGAGTGGCACTCCATTACAATAAACGGGCTTGCTTGAAGGTACGCACCTGAGTCCCCTGAATCACTCGAATTTCTGCCCATCTTGCGACATTCAACTCTGAAAACAGTCTTGAATTTGCACGGCGACTCACGACTACTCCTTCCTCAAGTCTCTTCGTAACGGCTTTTCGAGTGGCGGAGAGAGAAACGCGCGGCGCGGCGGCGCGACGAAAGGAACGGCGCGGTACCAACGTGAAATACCAAAATTAGTCCCTGAAAAGTATTACTTCATTGAAAAATGCATCATGGATATTTTCCGATAACAACTTAAGTTGTTATTTCTTTTAATTTTAATGATATATTAATCATGTTATTTAACTATGAGAGACCTCCACAGCCACAGCGTACAGATAGACGTTGGCAGATGCTACTACTACTGTTGTCAACCTACTTGTTGAACATAATATTTCACACAGAAAAGTGCCACGTTAATGTATGTATATGAATAATTAGGCATTTTTAATGCGCGTTAAGATAAAGGCTGTATGCGGCCTCCATTACATTAGTAAAACAATTTAGCTGCTTCTTCTAAACACAATCTTGGATAGAAGGACCATAGTACTTCCTATGCTGCGGCGGCCAGGAGTATGAGAAAGTTGTATTTCTCTGTTAGTAAACAGTAAACAGAGTTTTCATTCATTTACGGAGAGGTTCTCTGGTTCTTTCGAGAAATATAATTTCTTAAAACGATACGTGCTTCTTCAAATACCGTTATTTCGATTGATCTCCGAAGTACGAGGTGGATATACGTTTCCTCTGCATTTGTTGTCATATGTGGTTTGTGATAATTATGAAGCTTGTAAACTTTGTCCACAGAGGTTATCCTTCCTAACAATTAACAATGGAGCAGAACTCGTCTAGTGAGAATGAAGAAGCAGATGAACGTGAACGTCCTCCTAAGCAGATCAGAAAGGAGTGGTTAAAGCATGGACAGGTGACTTTTTGATTGATTATCTGTGACACATATGGTTGAAGAAACATTACCACCAACAGTTTTCATTGATATCTCAATGTCTCTACTTTATGCTTCAAGGTACCACGATCTACGTTGCAGAGATGGGAAAAACAGGCTAGAGAGCAACATAGTGTAGCTAGCGGATCAACATCTGATAGCAGCACTAGCAGCGGTGATGACAGAAACAGCAACGAAGGACATGAATCTGATCATGGTGAACAGAATTATGGGGAAGATGGAGTTGAAGGTGATGATGATGCTGCTGATGATGGTGGTGATGATGGTGGTGATGATGATGGTGATGATGGTGGTGATGATGGTGGTGATGATGGTGATGATGGTGATGGTGACGATGGCGGTGATGATGACGATGACGGTGATGGTGGCAATGGAGGTGACATTAACGAAAACATTGGAAATGAGGAAAATTTTGAGTTCATGCCGGAGTTGTTGTTTACACGATCACCACATACTGCTGGGCAAGCAGTAATACAAGTACTTCAGCTGTATTCAAAGCACGCCATTACAAAAAGTTGTCTTCGAGATTTGATCAAACTAATTCACAACTTGTTACCACGGGGAAATACTTTCCCAAGTACGTATTACTTTCTACAAAATAATATTGCTCGTTTCATCCCTCCTGCATCCTCTGTGGAACATGTGGCATGTGGATTCTGTGGCTTTTATCTGGGAAAGTTGAGCAACATCCTGCCTGGTCCATGTCAACTTTGTGGTAGAGTGGAGAGGGTGAAGTTTCATGAATTTTCACTTGGAGTTCTTATTAAGTACTTATTTGAGAAAAGAGGATTATCTGATGCAATTGACGCGCATGAAAATGGACCTCAATCAGATGTGAGTAACAGTGAAGAATACTTACGGCTCAAGGACCAATATCCAGGACGTTATGATTTAATTCTTTTGTGGAACACAGATGGTGTTAAAGTTAGGAGAAGTGGCCCAGCATCCCTTTGGGAATTGTCAATAACCATCTGTAATGTACCTCCTCAAGTGAGAAACAAATTCACAACTGTTGTAGGATTATGGTATGCTGACAAGAAACCTAAACTGACAACATTTCTTACTCCCTTCATTGCAAGCCTCTCACAACTTGAACAGAATGGTGTCAGGTGGACTCACCCAAGAACTGGAGAGGCACATATCAGTCAAGTTGTTGCTCCAGCTGTCAGTGTTGATGCTCCTGTGAGAGGAGAGCTCCAGAACATTATGCAACATGATGGAGAATTTTCTTGCCACAATTGTGAAATTGAAGGAGATGAACTGATATTAGGTCCCAGATCACGAAAAAGAATATATCCTGTACCTGATGAACCTTGCCCACTACGGACCAAGGAATCTATGAGGCTCCAAGCCGATAGAGCAGAGGCTGAAAATGTAATAGTTAAGGGAGTGAAAGGGACTTCATTGTTAGAATCAATTCCTACTTGTGACACAGAAAAATCAATCATTTTGGATTATCTTCATTTGGTGCTGCTGGGCGTTGTGCGACAGTTCTTTAAACTTTGGTTCACTGGTGCTGGCACTGATTGGTATATCGGGCGCAGAAAGAGATTGGTGACATTATTTCTGAAAGAACTTCGAAGAACCTATGAGGTGTGTCGCTGTCCATCAGATGTCAGTCAATGGAAGCTTTACAAAGGCTCGACCTGGAGGACATGGCTGCTTTTCGTGTCTCTTCCAGCTCTTAAGCCATTTTTAAAGGACAAGTACTTTCAACATTGGATGCTTTTGGTCCTAGGAATGTCAATTCTCCTGCAAGAGTCAATATCAGCACAAGACCTAGATCTAGCCGATCACTTGTTGTCATTGTTTGTTTGTGATACACAAGAACTTTATGGATATTCCGCCATGACCTATAATCTACATTGTCTGTCCCATCTTGTGCTGGTTACAAGAAGGTGGGGTGCACCATGGTCTGTGTCAGCATTTAAATTTGAAAATCTAAATGGTGTTCTCAGTAGACTTATCCATGGGACTATCCACATCACCACAGAGCTAACAAATACTCTGAACATAATTACTGCTACAAACAGTATAGACTATCTTATGAACGAAGCTCAGAACATTCGAAGGGACCCAAGAGTAAGCATGCTCTCACCAGTGCATGGCATCATTTTAACAGATGCTGAGAGACTTGCACTAGTGGAAACTTTGGCTGATATTGATGATGTACGGTATTTCAGTCGTGCTAAGATTGCAGGAATGATTTTTACATCTTCAATGTATTCTGCGGAGAGAGCAACAGACAATAAGCACATATGTTATGAGATGAGGAGAGAAGAGCATTTTGGTATTGTCCAGTTTTATGTGAGAAAAGGACAAGAATTGTATGCACTGGTAAAGAAATTAGTAGTTGAACCTGATCGACATTTCCAGCACACAGAGACTCAATTAATTGTGAATCATATTAAACCTGTACAAATAACTGATGTGCTCACAGTTATCCGTCTTTCGAGCATTTCTTGTAAAGTATTCAGAATTGGTGAATATGTTTGTAAAGAGTTAAATCGATATGAACATGCCTTGTAATGTAATTCACTTTATTTACTCAATTTCTGTAATTAGAAAGACTATCTTACTGTCATTTGAAAATTTTGTACTTTTCTTTCCTCAGCTACTCTAAGTAAAATTTCATCCATTACTCATTTAATTAAAGTGAATTTTAGCACTTGCCAAATTTGATACAACCTGTACACAGTTATTTTATTGAACTCTTCCTGAAGACCCCAAGATTTTCTTTGAAATAATTAAGAAAACAAACATACTGCTAGTCATTGTATTTATATTTTTAATCTTGTTTGTGCAATTAAGAACTTTCTATTGTCCATTTTGCAAGCAATGTTTAAAGCATTCAAACTCATTCGCCTTGATTGAGATGAGTCAGGCTTCCAACATGCCGTCTATGTTTCAAATTTTCGCGCTCAAGGCATGTTATAGGTGGGTGGTTGGTGGGGGGGGGGGGGGCTGAAACCGCTATTTAGCCCCCATAGCTGGCGAAACCTGGACATATCAGATGTTATCTGGCTACACCTGGCCCAGATCTGCTCATATCTGGCCTTATCTGTTACGTACTGGCCAGATCTGGATTAATCAGGTCCAGATCTGGGTTGATCAGGTCCAGATCTGATCAGGTGTAACCAGTTCTGGAGAAAAGGTTTCTTATCTGGACGATAGTCCAGAGAGCCCAGATCTGGTACCATCTGGCTACACCTGACCAGATCTGACCAGTTCTGACCTTTTTTACTTGGGACCCAGGTGATTGCAGGCGGCAAGCTGACTCCGAAACGGGCGGTAGGTGTGCTTGGTTTGTTCTGCCTCGGAAGTCATTACCTAGTACCTAACTAAGCTATAACTGAGACCTTATGTCGACGGTCTTGCTGGCCCAAAAATTCAGTCCAAATGTGAAAAAGGCAATTTTGTACATCACAGGAAAAATACTGGAGACTGTATGCTTATTTTAATACTTCTTACAATGAAAGAGAAAATAATTTTGCATGACCAGAATTTTAAAGTAAATTAAATAGGACTTGCTCGACCATTATAGTCCCAGACTAGAGCTAGTTTTGAACACGGGCGAAACAAACACTGCAGACGACCCCTGAAGGCCTGGAGTGAGGATGAGGCAATGCGGCAACACGGTAGAGGACGCGTTCGGTATTCTTCGGTCGTTCGTTCGGGGGTTGTCCAGTGCCCTGCCTGCTGCATGATTCAAAATGTTGTTGGCTGGCAGACCTGCTTACAACAATCGATGGAAAAGTTGTGCGCGGCGGTGGCTTTCAGTAGACCCCTTTCATTTCATTCTTGACGTCTTTCCTCGCGAAGCTCTTACGTTATTTTAATTTGACAGTACCACAACAATAATACGATTGTTAACATGTTTGAGCAGCGGGCGGTTTATTCCAGACGTTCATAAGACTACCTAATCGCTACGGAGGATCCACGGGCGTAACAACTCCCAACTTTTATACCCCGTCCCGATTTCTGTGTCCCCGTCTCTCTGCTCACCCACATCCAGGCAGAAGAGCTACGCATCTCTGCTGCCCGGCAGAGCCCTCGGTGAATTTGGAGCGCTCTAAGTCAAATGTCGCCGACGTGCGCAAGTGCTGTGGCTGTGCTGCACGACGTGAAGCCCGCCGCGCGCAGGTACTCTTTGGGGTGACGAGGAGAGGTTGCCTCCTTTCTTGCGCCATCTTGCATCCTATCACGCTGATGGTCCGTGCCCACTCCCCGCACTTCACCGCTCAAGCCACAGCGGTAAGTGAGAGTGAAATATGTCGCAGACCTTTTGCTCCACTGTGGCCGTCTCGCAATTCAATTTTCGCACACCTGTCGATCGAGTTATCCCCCATTGTATTGGTAGATTCCCCTCATCGTTTCTAGCATGACCCCCAACAGCAAGGTGCAGTCAGTGCCCAAGTGTACATTCCCCCGTTTTCCTTTGACAGATTAAACTCGTCGGGCTTCGTCTTAATGCCATGTTCTGATTGATGGAACCCGTTTAGTTTTACCTAGGTACTGCACAACCTGTGCGTGGGGACGAGTGTCGGACTTGAGCGAAATTGCTGTGTTGAACAACGTCCCGTGCCCCCCACCTCAGCCTGTGGCCAAACATAACCTGACCTCCTGACCAAGGTCGGCTAAACACTGAGGAGTGAAAAAATAGGACAGTCTTTTGGCCGTTTTATGTTGCTGGAAAACTTTATTTTCCGCTGGTTCCATTTCCGCTTGGATACTAGCTTGTCCGACCATTAGTCGAAGTTTTGGAATTCAATAAAAACGTATAAACACAGTGTTTGCCAGCAGTACCACCTTTCTATGAAAATTTTAAGAAGTCCAGTTTTCATTAGAATGCTGGTCCAGCTTTGATTGTCTCTTTATGTATTTAATCACTTCTTTCAATTTTAACTGCTTCTCCAGCTAGATTTGCACTCTCTGCGGCAGGCTGATGAATTTTCCTCTTCTCGTTTCCAGGGTTTTATCTTAACAACGAAGACATACTAGTTAAGTTTATTTTATTGACCTGCTGAATGGCACCTGAATTAAAACTCTAATGTGAGTTGTCAGATGTGCGCTAATTGATTTCAAGTGATAGAAGTCTTTTCTATCTAACACACAACTACAATGGATCTACTTTCCAATGATGATGACACTTTTGGAGATGACTTCTCTGATGGTTCACTTGAAGATTCTAGTCCTAAACATCAAGTGGAGTGTACCTGTCGTATATGCAAGGAGAAACTATGCAAGCCTAGACTTCTTTCTTGTTTGCACACATTTTGTGAAGAATGCATTGACAAACTATTGGTGGACGAGTCTGGTGATTTCAAGAGATGTGATAACACAGTGTCATGCCCAGTTTGTCAGCAAGAAACAATGGTAAGGAAGATCATTAAAATCCCATTTTTTGTTGTAGTATTGGTCGTACATGTTGGCATTTTGTTTTAATGAGGTTCTAATCTGAAATTTTACACTATTCTTTGAATCAAAACAGGTTTCTGAAAAGGGTGCTTCATCATTGCCCTCTAATTATGTCATGAACAACTTTTTAGACATGTGTGCTATACAAGATATGACTGTAGTCTGTACCAGCTGTAAAACCAAAGAAGTGGCTGTATCCCGTTGTTCTGATTGTGCAAACTTTTTGTGTTCTCACTGCAACTCTGCTCACCAGGTAGATTTTTTTCATTGGCACTTATTCTAATAGAATTGCTGTTTTTAAGGTATATAAGTAGCACCAAGATGATTCATAAAAAAACATGCCAGACCTGATAATTAAATTATTATTTTTCAGTTCATGCGCTGCTTTGAAAATCACCATGTGGTTCCTTTTGAAGAACTGCGTCAGAATGCTACTGAAATCAATGGTTTAGTTCCCATTCATAAACCAATTTTCTGCTCATCACATGGTTCTGAATGTTTGAAGCTTTACTGTCATTCTTGCAGGGTGAGTGCAGTTCACTCCTGAAATAACTATATTGACAATTATATTTATCCTACTGTACTCTGTACTTTTTGCCCTGCTTTCAGATTCCAATCTGTAATGATTGCATGGTAACTGATCATGTTGCTCCTCAACATCGGTATGAGCGCCTCACCACAGCAGCACCCACATTCCAAGAGGAACTGGAGACACTAATGGTTGAAGTTAAAAGGAAGTCAAGCATTTTTGAAGTAGCATCTTCTGATTTGGACAATGCTTTAACTGAGCTTCAGGCTCAACGTGATGCAGCTCAAGACCTGATCAAAGAAACATTTCAGGTTTGATAGACAACATTTTACTCATTTAGCTGTAGGGTATTGAACAGATAACTGCTTAAATTTCATACACATTCTTTTATTTATTTTAAACCATTTGTTTCCAGAGTTACAAAGCATTTCTTGAAATGCGTCAAGAAGATTTGTTGAAAGAATTAAATACCATTCATAAGCAGAAGGAATTGAAAATTATGGGCTCACATCACATGTATGTGTGACTTATTTTGTTTCAGTTTTTCTTGCGCTCTTTGCAGTATTATCATAACTTAATCATATTCCAGGGTCGAGAAAACAATGGACCAAGTTGATGATGCCTGTAATTTTACCACACGTCTTTTGAAGCAAGGAAATACAGTGGAAATTGTTTCCTTAAGAAATGTGGTTTCAACTCAGCTTCGCAAAATTCTGGCTACCTCACCAGAGCCTGAAGTGAATACCTCTATTGAATTTGTCACTGACAGCTCTAAATTCCAGGCAGCAGTTAAGGTAATTTTTATTAAAGTACTTTCTTTTGTTCATCATATATTCATTTCATTATCTTATCTTATGATCTATCTTCTTTTCTTTTTTTTAAGGCAACATTTGGCATATTGAAGTGTAATAATATGGTGGATGTGGTTCCTCCACTTCTAAACAACCACAGTGAAAGTCTATCAAGCATATTTCCTCCCCCTCCGCCACCCAGTTCCAACATTCAAATTGTGCCACAGGCAGTAGCAGCTAGGGAAGAGAGTAGCCCTTCTCCTACATTTTCTACTGTTTCTTCCAATGGAGAAAGAATTGGAACTGGAAGAGTCCCATCCGCATTCATTTCAACCACTTCTTCTGCTCTGAATGGTTATGTAAGTCCTGTGACCAGCAGCCCAGTTTCATCTTATGACAGTGAAATCAGCCAGATCACAGGGTTTGGTATAGGCACGAAAACAGAAACGCCTACAGCTCAGTCGCCACCAATGTCGTCCACTTCACAGAATGCCAATTATGGATTGACAGTCATCCAGGAGTACAACCTTACTCAACTAGCCAACCTAGCTGATAAGGTTAGAAAATAATTTCTTCTTTTCTATTCTCCTTTAAATGTGTAATTTCTTTAAAATTGTGTATTTTATTGTCTATTGTTGTAGGTTGATATTGATGGACACTCAAACTTATCATCCAATGCTACTTCACCCATGCTTTTAACTGACCTGCTATCCGGACCCATTGGGCACCAAAATCATGCCCTTAAAAATCTGCAAGCTCTTGCTAAACTGGGTGGGATGTCCATTAGTGACCATGGTATGTATTGTAGCTCTTTAAATTAGAGTAAAGTCATATGGTTGAGTATTTTATCTTACTGTGATTTTTCTGACAGATGACATGGTGAATGGGGATTCATTGAATGGACCACCTGGTATGCTTGCTCGACCAGCATCACCACCCAGAAACAGTCTAGGCCTGCCCCCCACTCCAATGATTGACAAAGCCAACAATTTTCCAATCCTTTCTGAGACAGATGAGCCAATATTAAGTCCTTCTGGTAAGTTTGTCGCAAGTTCTTAGATAGCCTGTGGAAGTCTAAATGGAGTGAGTTAATTCAAGCCTGTTTGTCTGTTTTTCATAATTAATTTTTATGTGGTGTCTTAGGAGGCTTTCCCTCCAATCGGGACAGTGGAAAACCAATGGCAATGGATGTGCGACTGAAGTTTGGTTCTGTAGGAACTGGAAAGGGACAATTCAGTAGTCCTCATGGCTTTTGCCTTGGTTGTGATGAAGACATAGTTGTGGCTGATACCAACAACCACCGTATTCAGGTACAACTCTCATCAAAATGCCCATGGATTTTCTACCTATTGTACCATTTTATTATGTTTTACTTTCACTTCTGTTTTTACTTTTTCTCTAGGTATTTGACAGAACTGGCCAGTTCAAGTTTCAGTTTGGTGTTGCCGGCAAAGAGGAAGGACAACTATACTATCCCCGCAAGGTAGCTGTCATACGCAACTCCGGAAAGTTTGTTGTTTGTGACAGAGGAAACGAGAGATCTCGTTTGCAAATCTTCACAAAAAATGGCCACTTTGTCAGAAAAATTGCTATTCGGTACGAATTTTATTTGCTTTACTTTGCTCTGTGCTCATCCAAATCATGTGTTACTGTTTTTTTGACTCCTCATTTGATTTTCAGATACATTGAAATATTGGCAGGCTTGGCTGTTACACCCTCTGGGCAAATTGTTGCAGTTGACAGTGTTTCTCCAACTGTCTTTGTTATTTCAGAAAATGGTGGTATTAACTCATGGTTCAACTGCAGTGATTACATGATGGAACCATCAGACATCACTGTGTCTGGTAATTTTAATATTGTGTTACTTAGAAGTAACATTACTGAGTTTGACATTTCCTGTTTATATATGATTGATACTATGTTCATTTCAGGACGCGAGTTCTATGTATGCGACTTCAAAGGACATGCTGTTGTTGTTTTCGATGAAGATGGAAAGTTCAAGCGCCGCATTGGGCGAGAACCCCTTACTCATTACCCTAACGGTATTGAAGTATCTGATGCTGGAGATGTTGTTGTTGGTGATTCTCATGGCAACAGATTCCATGTTGTTGTTTTTAATAAAAATGGGGAGCAGTTATCAGAATTTGAATGTCCACATGTCAAGGTATGCCACTCTTAAAATTATTTGATCTGAAGAGCAACCTGGATTCATATCCTTTATTTTGATGTCATATTATACAGTATATCAAAGTTTACCTCACCAAACTTAACCAATTTTCTATTTTAGGTGTCCCGTTGCTGTGGACTTAAAATAACTTCTGAGGGTCATGTTGTCACCCTTGCAAAGAACAACCATTGTGTGTTGGTCTTGAACACACTTTATGTCAACTGAAGAAGTCTGTGTTACTCATCTCAAATATCTAAACTGAGATACTATACAACTGAGGTTCTTATTAGTAGGCAAAATGTTTGTCTACAACCACCTCTGTATTGGCAGGGTTACGTAACCTAGCTTGATCTCATAGTCATTTTAAGGTATAGTCAGAAAGAGTCATTATGTTAACCTCAACTCTTTGGAATTTGAGACTTATATGCTGAATTTTTCTTGAATTCTGTTAAAGCAATATTTGCAATATATGCATTTAGGCTAATACTTGTTTTGTCTAAGTCTATGAGTTGAAATGTATGACAGTTTGTTTTTAAATGTCATCAGTTATGATGCAGAAGAATTTTCTTTATCTATTTTTAGACCGGTCTGGTTCCTACAGGCGAAAATAATGGAAAAAAAAATGTTGAAAAGAAAAAAAAGATGTTGGTTCTTCCCAAACAGTCAGACATGTTTCATTATAGGGATTTAAACCAATTGTACTTCTAACCATATGATGAAGACTGATGATTTTATTTTCTTGTTTTTATTGAAACTAATTTTGATTAAGTTTGTTTTAATGTTGTGGGAAGTTATGTGAAAACAATTTCTTGTAACTCTTTATACATGTACTGCCATTTTTTTTCCTTTTAAATTTTTGTGTGACTTTCTATTCTATGCAGAACCATGTATTTAGCTCTGCTTGTGTGGTCTGAGTCACCACATTCAACAGTCAGTGGGAAGAGACAACATGAAGGTTCTTATATTATTAATATCTAGTTCTTTCATACTCATGCCAGCTCCAATTTTCAAACATATGCATCTATATTGTGATACTGTTTTGAAATATTATTTAACAGAATGCACTGATTTAAGTGAGCATTCATGTTCTGTATAAATAGCGTATGCTTGATGAAGTGCCATTTTAGTTGAGTATTTCTGATTGAGAGTTCTACTGGAGAGTGTATTTTTGAAAGTACTTTATGTGCTGCGAGAAGGTATTTTAGAAATAGGATAGCACCTGTATTGATGTGTCTTTTGTCATATTTTATGATCAATGGTATTGTTTTCTTTTTATCTTCATGGTGCAAATTGTTGCAAATTCACTAGTTTATATATTCTCATGAATGTGTGTGTGTGTACTCACACCAAATCCTTGTGTGTACATATAGTTTTACAAACATACATCTTTATCTATTAACATGAGGAAAAGTATCTATCTTTAAGTTATAGAAAACTGAAAATATTTGTGAAAACGAAAAAGAAAAAAAAATTGTTATGTAGTGTGGGGTACTAGTATTTAAATCCGTACTGCTTACACTCTTATTTACTAAATATAGCAATAAACTGACTGTAGGGTACAAGCTGAACTATTCTGTATCTTTAAAGTTTATTAGAAGTAAGATTTATGTGCTAATTCAATATTGAAGAATCTGCAAGGATCAGTATCATATACCGGTCATTTTATAGAGTTACATTTCAGTGATGACTTAAGAGTAAGAGTATACATGTTGAGGTTGAAAGTCTGTTTAATTTTTGCTGGCACTATTCTCTATCTGGTTTAATGAAACTTAGCATTCCTTGTAGGTGAATCCAGCATGTAGCTTTAACCATTTTTTCCAACTCTGCATCTCTCTAATGAAATGTTCATCTCTGTTAAAGGAAAGTTACGGTTACAATTTTAAAATTTGCCCAACAGACGTCTGTACCTGATGGAATGGAATAGATCTCTAATATTTGCCAATCAAGAATTCTGAAATAATATTCTCATTCAGAGACTTATCTCAATAGTACAGTGTTACCAGGCTATCGACTCACACTGAATATAACATGAGTCATGTCATTGTCAGTGTTGTACTATTCTCGCACTTCTTACTGGTCAAGTCTTGTATGAAGAATTTATTGACATCATATCATATGGCTGTTGTTCAGGCTTCCATAGCTACTTGCTCAAGAGCAAGAATGGGGAATCTCTGGTTCACATTTTCATATGAGTCCAAAGGTTTTGATGAATTCTGGCACTGACTTGTTTCCTCCCATATATTGGACGTTTTCATTGTCTATTTGCTATGAATGTAAGTTTTTAAACCTCAGCAGGCATCTTTTAATTGGAGATTAGGAAATCTATTTTATCTGACCTTTTTTTGATGTGACATCCTGTGATAATTAAAGTAGGACTAACCTGGATTTTACTCTAGGTGTACTGCATTGTTAATTAATAAGATTGACAATTCTTTTTTTAATTTTTTTTTTTAGGATTTCACTTTAGTTTTGTTTGAAAAATACTTTGCGCTCTAAATTATTTCTATTGAAATCTTTCTAAATTGATAACTTTTCTCGGTATTCATGTGAAGAGATAGATTATGGAACTATTGTGATTGATTGTTATTAAGTACTATGTAGCTTTGTAAGCGTGGTTTAAGAAAAAATAACTTCTTTTTGTGATGAGAGAAATTTTATTCAAAAGTATGAAACTCCGTGGCTACTATTTACTTCTAATTTATAGAAATTCCTTAAAAAATCTTCTATTTGCCTTTTAAATGCTTCTCAGGTTTTGCAGTGTTTGCTTTATTAGTTAAACCTGCATTGTAACTTAACATTTTATGCAAGAAATATGTTCCCATTTTGACGTATTTTCTTTTTAGAACATAAATTATGCAGGTACACCATATGTACCACTAATTGTTTTTTAAATGATGTAATGAGTGCCAGTCATTTCGGTAAATCCTTGACAGAAGGTAGGACCAAGTTCAGAGTTGACGCTTCTGTATTGAGTACTAGTTTCTTACTCAAGATCAAAGCATCTGTGATTTTCAAAGAAGCTTTTAATAACAGTTCTCCAGCAACTAATTTTGGACCCCTTAAAGTGCTTAACCTTATTTGCTATGGTTGTTTTTATATTAGGTATGTATGACTTTTTCTTATAAAAAAAAGCTCAAAAATTTTGTCTTGAGTCTGAGGCATCTGCTGGTGATGGTGAAATGCTTCTTGTCATTGTCCTATCTTGTAATTCCATTTTTTCCTGGGGCGTCATTAGTAACTCCCAAAAAAGTATCAGTATTTCAATTACCACATTCTACATCTGCCTTTCCGGTAACAATCTTTGAAAATGCGAGTCTAGAATTGTTCAATACTAAAGTTACTAGCCTATGCTTACAGTTATTGGTCAGAAAGTCACAACTTTCAGGGTCACCCCTTTTCCCCAATTCTACACAGCTAGTGAAATTGGGTTTACACGCCCCAGGTTTCAATTTAGGAAAGTTAACTGTAATTTATTGCTTGCATCATCACTTAAAGAGGTATTCCACAGAGGTTGTTTTCATATTTGTATATTTGGGTTAAAATTCTTTATAAGAAACTAACAGGGTAATGATTATTTCCTACATTTTGAGTGCACTGGAGGAAGCAATCCCTTGCACACTTGATGTTCTTAGGAAATGCCAAAGCGAGGTAAAACTTCAAATACTAACATGGCTGGAGGAAGGTATTGGTCTTGCAACCAATGCACTTTTCAGCGTTCCTAGTTTTCTCTTGCTGCTATCTACTTTTATCTTTTACATTGAATTCATTAGAGGTAGAACCCCACTTGAAAGGTATTGTCATACAATTTTAGGCAAGTGTTACTCTCCTTTCAATCAGATATACATGTATCTTTAAATACAGAAATGGAAGAAAGGAACCACCTTTTCCCCTAGTCCTTTGTTTGCTTTTTTTCTTTTTTTTTTTTAAGTTCTGTAAGAATTAATCATTCTAAAATATACATATCAGAACTGATAGTTAAAATGTTTACTTGTTGCCTAGGTTGTCACTGTTTCTATCTTAATTAGACTGTGGTATTGTCGATGGGAATGAGCATATTCCGTTTTTGTGTTGTAATCTTCGTCTTCCTCTGTTTAAGCTAGATTCACCTCTTGCTGCTGTATTGCTAGCATGGCTTAAGAGAGTCATTTACCTCACATTTTTCAAATTGTTGCAGTTACACATAGTTTAGTGTGTCTGTCAATATATCACAACTTTTCTTCAAATGACCAATAATGTAAATTTATCTTATGTACTCATGAGTTTTTAATGTGATTAATTTATGTAGTGTTTAATTTCAGTTTTTTTTATTTTTGAAAAAGCAAACCAAAAAAAATCTAAAAAAACAAACAAAAAAAAAACTGCTGCATGAAGGAATTGTCCATTTGTATCCCAACGTATTGATGAATGCTTTCCTGTTCTCAAAAGCTGGTATGTCAGTATCAGATTAAAAAGTACGAAATTTAGTCGTTTCCTCCCAATTTTCAAGCAGGGTTTTTATGTTACAAGATCTCATTTGGATCTGATTTCAGCCCTCTAACCGGTATTAGTGCAGTCATGTATCACGTACGTCAACCTTCAACTGTGTTGTGTCAGTAGTTGTACATGGCCAACAATAGTTGAAGCTCTGCAAAATTTTTAAGTGCCCTTTTTACCTTGTGCTTAAGATTGTATTTAATTCTAGGTCGATAGTGCCATTAAATCCAGGAACATTTCATTTGTTCATTCATGCATCTGTGGTGAAGGTGATAAAGTAGTGCAAGGAAGAGCTTTGATTATACCATTATTGCCAAATTTAATGTTAAACTTAAGTTGCCTTGGGTGAATACGTTTAACTGGCATAGTTTTGTTGAAATAGGCCTGTAGAGTTTTTACGGCATTTCGTTATGAAATCAAGTTCTTGGCACTTTTAAAGCTTGATGTGTCTTGTTTGGTGATGACTGAAACTTCAGAACTTTTCCCCCCCTCAATATCCGGAAAAGTGGTTCTCTTATATTTTATAGCTTCTCAGGTGCTTGTGGTATAACTAGGTTTTAAACTGACATGATGCTTTGAATTGCTTTACTCTGTTAACTTCAGTAAATTGTGTCCAACCAATTTTGAGATCAATTACTGAGTTACCAAATGTATTATGAAAGAATCTACTGCATCTATGGTCAAGTTTACTCCACTGTTGTGGTTCTATTCATAACATGTCAACATCTAAACCTAGCTTGTTCTATTATGTTCGCAGTCTGGAACTAGTTTGCCTTATGTGACCAAAGATACGGTATGTTAAGTTCAGTGATTGTATTTTTAGAAAAATCTCAGATATCCCTCTTGAGTGAAATGAATGACTTGTCTCAAAGAATTAGTTACGCTTAATATGATTCTCTTGATTGCAAATTGATAATTTTTTTGTTCAAATCATCATCTGATGAACATATCAGTCAGGTCATTTGGGATGCTACTAGATACTTCTCCACAGGAGCTTGCATGATAACCTTACAAAATTGTTGCTCAATAATTATTTTTTCCTAACAACTTGCATACCATTCATTGTGCAATGTAAGAAAAATTGCTAGAGTTGCAAACTCTACTTCACCAACACGCCTTGCAATTGTAAATGTTAGGTAATAATGCAAATCGATTGACACTTTGTCAATTTGTGATTTCATGTGTTCCTTAAAGTCATGTTTAACTGTGTTCCAAATTTTCTGGGCTTTTTCCCTTCTCCCCTTTTACTCCCCTTTTTGTGCTGATTATGCCCAAATCAGTTTAGTAACAAATTTGTGATCCTAATAGTAATTAAAAATGTTGAGGGCCTTACCATTCCAATTCCCCAAGTATATTTAATGCTTGGGCTGTTACGTCTTTAAATTGAATTAAGTTATGTATATCTCTCATAAGGTTTTTGTCATCAAAGGAACGTTTTTTTGACGGATAATTGTCATTTTGTGCTCATGAGGTCATCCTAATGAAAGACATGCAGCCTAGCTTTTATAATATTGGCCTATTGAAAGCAAAGCTGTGCGCTTTTTCTCTTTCAAAGAAACTTCTGACGCAGTGCTGACATTAACATGTTTCAATGTTACATTGAAATCTGCAACGTCAATTTCTGCTGTGGTGGGAAACCAGGGTTTTAAGTTTATGGCCTCTGGCTATTGTTGTATTTCAAAGAAATATCTGCTTTTTTTTTTCCAGATCTTTTACCTTGAAACTTTTGGGATCCGTGTTCAATATTATCCTACCAATATAAAAGATATCTTTATTTTTTAATGCATTAAATGCTTTGTTTTTAATGTTTCTGTATTTTCTGAATTTGTTTGATGACCTTTTAAGAATCTGATAGCATCATTTTTATTCATGTGTGTGTTCTTATAAGAACACTTATATTCAAGGTCTTTAGGTTGCCATTTAACTGTTGTGTACATGGTACCTTCTTTTTTCCCTCCCTGTATGACAGGTTAAACAAATATTTTGGCTGATAACACCAATTATTTGCTTACTCTTCTACTTATTGTGTTTTTTGCATTGCAATATGAAAATTTAGCTGTTTTGTTTGTAGTACAGTGAGATCATTATAAGTCCTTATTGTGTAATTTGTATTGTCTATCATATGCTCTCGATTGTTCAACTTTAACTCAATATTATTCTTCTGTTGTATCTTGTTTTGTCGTGGGTGTTTTTTTTTTTTTTCTCGTGTGTGCTTACAAAATATTTGTTTTGTTGTCTTTATCCTTTTATTGTTTACTCTTATGTCATCATCCATTCCATTATATGTTTAACAATGTTATAGAAAGTTGTGGTTTTCTCAGTGTAAGGTTGTGAGTTACACTTTTTTTTTTCAGTGATGACAATTTGATATTGTCCATGATTAATCTAGGTCTTAGTGCAGTCTTTGTAAATATAAGCGTGGTATCCTACCAAAAGACGGGGACTCTGAAAGACCGCCAGTCTATATGCATTCCAGTGGAAAGCTAGATCTGAGGGTCATAAAACTTATTTTGTTCGTCTGAGTGGCCAAGCAAGCAAGAATTTTCTTTAGTCAAATGTTATGAAAAGGAAATGTTGATAGCTTTTATTTTGTTTGTCAGTTTATCATTTATTTAATAAGTACTTATTATTTTTCTGTTTCTATGGTATACTATTGCGACTGAAGCTGAGGCACAAGTTAAAAGTTGACAAACTCTGGGGACATGAATGAATAGTTCGCTTGTATTGGCAAATGTCTTGCCAACTTTTTCTCTCTTTGCAATGGTTTTTTGTCTTGCAGAAAAATAACTATCATGTAGTCAGTTAAAGTACAAATATTTTTAAAACTTCCCTTTTGCTTAGGCTTGACTTGATTAACGGTCGGCCCTTGAATGTTTCCTATGTACATATTCTACATACAATGCTACACATTGTCAACTTCTGTTAAAAGTAGTGAGAGTTGTAGATGTTTTCAAAACTCTTGCATTTCAGCAAAGGCTCAGGAGTTTTCTTAACTATTACCCAACCTATGCTTGGTTTAGTTCATTTACCTTATTGCAGCATGTGTGCACAGTTTCTTTCCAAGTGTGGCTATTATATCGAAAGATGCTCATTGTTATGCTGTGCAAAATTTCTTTTGAAAAATATTTTCCAAAGGATTTTGTATGCTAGTCTTTAGTTATGTGAGTATATTACTGTTTTTTCTCCCCCCAGTTATGACTATATTGTGCTTCACTTTTCCTCTCACCATAGTCTATATTTTCAGAGCTTTACTCAACAAATTTATTGAACAGTGCTGTCAAGTTGTTGACTTTTTTGACACTATTGTCGGCATTGTGTTAAGTAAACGTTTTATTAAAGCTTAATAGTTTTGATTATTTTGATTTTTTTTTTAAACGAGTTAATGAAAGTGCTCGTGTTAAATTGCAGTTGCTATTAGTGTTTATTTGTTTATTGTATTATTCAGAGGTAGTTGTGACTATGTAGTTATTATATCGGGTGTCGTATTATTTCCTTCCCCTGTATAATCAGTTGATTTGTATTGTCAATTCTTTAACAATAAAGTGTTCACAAGTTCCATGCCTAGTTCTTTTGAACGGACCTCTCATTCATTCCCATCGGTCGTTGGACCGCCCTCTCAACCAAAAAGCCCGCCGCGCCCCTCCAACCCGCGGGAGGAACCGGAAGTGCCGCGCCGAAAGGAAAGGGTTGCTGCCAAGAACAACAGCAAGCCCATGGAGTTTGTTTTTGGCTGCGCTGGGAGAGCACGTTAAAGCCGGCCGCAGGTGCTTCTGGGACCCAAAATTGTAGCAAAGTACGTATTGAATCGCAACTAGGGTGGCCAAGAATCGTTTGCGAAAGAGACCGAATCGTGAATGTCAGTTAAAACATCAGTCACGGCTCTGCAATGAATGGTCGAAGTCATCCTACTTGACTCAACGGCCCTCCACGCCTTCGCGGGTCTCGACCGCCCGATCGGCAACCCCACGAATCTTGCGATTGGTTCAAGAGTTGGGTGAAACACACTGATTTTCGGCGATAATCCCGTCGCGAGTCTTTTTCGACGGGCCTAAATTGGGGCCTAAGGTTAGGTTGATGTGTCGGCGTCCGCCGGCCTGGCGGCGCGATAAGCCTTTGGGTTGGAGGCTGGCCCTCCGCGTCCTTGTGTAGACCCCTACACACGGGCAGCGCGAGGCGAGGCGAGGGCAGTGTGATCACGTTGACGTAGCCTGGTTCGCCGCCATTGCTGCATGGCAGTAATTGTTCCCAAACTTTCGAGGTAAGACTTTATCCGTCGTGGTGTCTGCGGGCGCCGTGGCCCGCCCCCTGCCCCGGACGCGGTCCGTACGCGCAGCTGGTGGGCGCTCGCCCCGAAAGGTATTGTTTCCCTTCGGAATGTGCGGTCCGGCCCGCTCGGCGGGTCCCCGGTCAGACTGTCCGGCCGCGATGCCGGAGGGCTTTATAATGACGAGAGGAGAGCCGGCCGGCTGGCCCTGCAGCTGTCCTGACGCCGACGTCCTGCGCGAGGATCGTGCTTCACGGGGCCGCTGTTTTGGTTTGCGCCGAAGAGCGTGACCCCCCGTCGTGTTGTCGGCCCCCTTCGTCGCCACTGCTCCAAGGCGGCTTGCATTGTTTGTGTCGGCGCCCTCCCCGCTTCGCATGTGCGCGGGGCAGCAGTCACGGGGCTCGCGAAATTCCCTCGCTGCCGCGGCGATTCTTGCACCCATGCCTGTTGCCGCCGAACGTTGCCGTCCTCCAGTCGCATTGTTTTCACTTCTCCCCCCGGGTTGTTTACGATTCCGCGAGAACCTTCTCCCGCCTCCACTGTTTTCGTAGGTTAGGATCATTGGGTCGTTATTGTACCGAAAGAAAGAACATGTTCTCCCGTGCTGGGAGACATTCCAGGTTGTACTGCTCTACTTGATTCCTCATTTTTACACAAATTTATCCTCAGCCTCCTCTGTTCGTGGACGACTCACACGGAGGAAGGATGCTAGTGTCAATCCTTCATTTTTATTCACAAGTCCTTCACCCCCACATATCCTTCTGCAGAAACTTATGACAGTAATTTTCTTGTGGCAGATTTAATCCAAAATGGCTGAAGGCAACGGGGACATATGTGGAGACGTCGAGCTTAAAGTTGAAAGAACAGAAGACTTTCAAAAACTGTTAACTAGCGGTTTAGATGAAAAAGTAGCCGCAAAGTTGGATGATATCTACAAGACTGGTATGTTGTCAAATGTCTGAACCCCGGAGAAAATACATCTTGGTTCTACATCAGCCAACATTAACCATTGCAACTGAAGTTCCTCTTTTGGAACTTCAGTACAAACTTAGCTTAACACTATCCACAATCTTGTATTATTATAAAATAGATGCCAAATGACTACTCAATACATTTAACAAGGCTTTTTTTCTTTTTTTTGTGAGCTTTGTCATTACCCTGAAACAAAGACTTAAAATTTTAATTGCGACATGGGTTGTGGGTGAAAGGAAATAAATTATGGATGTGGGTTTGTTCTTATTCCCTGCACTGATAAATGCTTTTTAGATTTAGTGAAAACTTTGTCTCTAACCATCTACTTAAACACATTTTAAAAAACTAGTATTGGTTTGCAGGTTCGAATACATAATTACTGCCTACTGATGTCTTTCTGCTGGTCAGACTCTGTTAAATGTCTGATTGTTGTTTCAGGCAAACTCTCGCATGTTGATTTAGATGAAAGAGCTTTAGACGCCCTGAAAGAGTTTCCAGTTGATGGAGCTCTCAATGTGCTAACAGAATTCCTTAATTCTAATTTGGAGCATGTATCCAATAAGTCAGCTTTCCTCTGTGGAGTCATGAAAACGTACCGTGCCAAAAACCGAGCTGGACAGGCTGCAGCTCCACCTGCAACACCATCTAGTGCTGTAAAAGCTCCTGATGAAGAAAAGATTAAGGTAAGTCCATCTCTCACATCTTGTAATCATACAAATCCGGAAATTAAACCAGAGAACCATTGTTATTTTTCTTTTTTTTTTTTGTTCTGAAGGCAATTTTGGATAGAACTGGCTATTCACTAGACGTAACAACAGGTCAACGGAAATATGGCGGCCCTCCACCAGACTGGAAGGGTCCTGCTCCAGGCAATGGCTGTGAGGTAAGCCCTCATTAGTGTGATGCTCTCTTATTGATTCTTCATTGGATATTGGCCATTATTTTAAATTTCTTTGTTGTTTTCCTCACGGCAGGTCTTCTGTGGAAAAATTCCCAAGGACATGTATGAGGACGAACTTATTCCACTTTTTGAGAAATGTGGAACAATTTGGGATCTCCGACTGATGATGGATCCTATGTCTGGTCAAAACAGAGGTTATGCCTTTGTCACATTCACCACAAAAGATGCAGCACAGCAGGCTGTGCGAGAGGTAAGTCCCCAGCAGGCCTATCTTTTTAAGTCTTTCAAACAAAAGACACTGAAGTTCGAGTATGGTAAGGGGTGACTCATGCATGTTTACATGATGTAGTGAGACTCATTTACAAGGAAGAAATCTTTCAAAGGCTGTATGAGAAAATCCATCTCAGCTCTACCAAACTTAACTGTTCTGATTTTACATCCTTAGTACTTGTTTTTGGAATCTATTCCTACTCAATCATTATTATCTGTATGTTTTCTTTCTTAAGTGATTTTAATTTTACTCTCAGCAGCCTTTGAATTTCAGTAAAATGTAGATCAAATTTATATAGTATTGGCATGTTATAGAAATTATCTCCTTGGCGGCTTTCTGGATTTTTATCGGATGTTAACAGCAACACTCAAAAGGAAATTTAACTGCCCAGTCCAATGTCTTTTGTTGGTCAGCCACCAGTATTAATGTACTTGCTGGACAATATTAAGTCCTTATGAAGTTTGTGTGCAGTAAACCCAGACACTGGTCTTTCAAATCTCAATCTCTTTTGAAATGTAACTTTTTGTGCTCTTTCATCACTCCGAATGGCCTGGCACTGAATTTGTAAAATCAATTACAGTCAATTCCCATTGGTGCGACTCCACTGGGATCACGAAAACGTTATGACGGGGAAATAGTTATATCTGAGCATTAACAAGCAAATTAATGATATGGGAAAAAATTGTTTTAACTGGAAAATTGTTGTATCCGGAGGTCGTACCAATGAGGATTGACCGAAACCAATCCGTATCCGAGTCCAGTGGTTATAATATCTGCTATCAACTAAAAACACCAAGACAGCAATTGTATTTATTTTAGCCGTTTTTTGTATATCTATACTGTTTTATTGATTTTACTACCAGCACAAAACATTGCAGTGCCTGTAACCTCCCTTTTGTTTGCATTGCTATGGTAACAAATTCTTAGGTTCTTCAAATGTTTTCTATCTGGCTATGTTAATTAATAGCAAGTGCTTCTCAAAACTGTTCTGGGTTTCAATCTTCCAGTTCAATCTTTATTTGCAACTCAGCACGGAGCCTTTGAAAGTAATCACATCAGACATAACTGCCCCTTCACTTCTCTAAGACAGAATATGACTCGTAACTTGAAGCACCTGCACTGTCAATAACTGCCAATTTTTCATTTGTTATTGTTTCTTAATTATATCAGTGCATTGCTGTTATTGTTTATTTTTCATTCAGTGTTTCAGGTATGTTAATATTAAATGTGAATTTGCATCTATTGCAAACTCTTCCAGGTCTCCTCTTTGCTTATAGCAAAATGGGAACTGGAATGTCAAATAGTTCAGGGAAAGACACACTTTAACTTAGTTCCATCAGATGTGCACATAGTTGTATATGTGGTCATTTTCATTTCTACTGCTTAGCGAAATTATCTTTAAAATTTAAATCAGTTATTATTGTAAGTTTTTTTTTTTTATTTTATTTTTTCACTAGTGAAGGTTGAGAAGGTATTCTGCGAATGTGGTTCCAGCTATGGTGCTTGCTCTTGTCAGCGGGGTGTTACCATGAAGCATGCCTGTTTTTTGTGTAGTTAGTGCTAAATTATTGTTTTGGTCTTGGTTTCCGAAATTGTTTTTATTATTATTTTTACTTGTGAATTATTCCAAATTTGGCATGTTTGTTCTTTTTTTTTTCTTTTTCATTCCACAGCTTGATAATTATGAAATCAAACCCGGCAAGAGTCTGAAAGTAAACATTAGTGTTCCAAATCTGCGACTTTTTGTGGGCAACATTCCAAAATCAAAAGGCAAAGACGAGATTCTGGAGGAGTTCAATAAATCAACAGGTAAATGGACTTTGAAATTCATAAGTTGGCTGTCAGGAGGGTTGGATGGGGTTTGTGGAAAAATCAGTCAATTGTTGGAAGATGGAAAACTAGTTTGCAGCTGTTTCCTCAGAGCTCCTTTAATGTCAGTTGAACACTCCTTCAACCAATCTCTAAAAAAATCTTAGTGCCGTTCTAGTTTCTGTGTCAGATCCATGTCTGATAATGAGGTGGTGGCCTTTCCCACCCTCATGTGCAGCCAGCAATTGTGACCCACAGAGGGCATAATTGGCGTTGTTCTTTCAGCTCAATGATAATGATATTCGAATTGGGAAAAAGCTTGGTGTAACAATTTCTTTTAACAATCATCGGTTATTTGTGGGAAACATTCCTAAAAATCGCGGTCAAGACGATCTATTTCAAGAATTTTCCAAACATTCACGTAAGTCAAGTGTCCGCTGCACCCTCCCTTTGGAACATAATCAGTATGGTGCTATGGGAAGGGATAGACTTTTAGCCTGGGTGTTTAATAGGTTGGAGTTAATTTCCACATTTTGGAATACAGGAATTTGTTGTAGTGCAGATAAGTTCCCCCAGCTCACCCTGCTTCTTGCACTGACTTCTAATTAGGCTCAGACTTAACCTTCAGTTGTTATTTGGGAAAGTCAGCTCTAGAATCAGGATGTGCTCAAGCAAATTTTCTGCATTATTAGATCTCCTGGGTCTTAGAAAGTGGAATATTGCTCCACCTTAGTGTCAAATGTTTTATCACAGGAAGTCATGTATCTATACTATTATACTGGGTTTGTTTTTGGTCACAACTGTAGGTCTTCATATTTACATCAAAATTATTGGTCTGTTCTATTTTTTTTTAACTTCATTCATCCTATTGGAATTTTTGAAAATAATTTTTTTTATTTACTGATTTGGTTGTTGGAAATTACTTTTTATTGAAGTGTTATCTGCTTGAATGTGTGTTAATTGTAGCTTTGGTTTATTTTTGTCATCTATCATTTTTTACACTTACGTGCAGACGTTCAGCAAAACTAAAAAGTATTATCTGGTAAAAAAATTTACTTTGATTTCCAGCTGGCCTTACTCAAGTCATCATATACAGTTCTCCTGATGATAAGAAAAAGAACAGGGGCTTCTGTTTTTTGGAGTATGATACTCATAAAGCTGCTTCCCTTGCCAAGCGAAGGCTTGGCACAGGGCGCATCAAAGTATGGGGCTGTGACATAATTGTGGACTGGGCTGATCCTCAAGAAGAACCTGATGAAAGTACCATGTCAAAGGTAGTTTGCCTGTTTATGTTATACCATTAGATGAGATTCTAGGATATATTTTCAGTATGTGATCTGCAGTTCTTGCTGACACTGACTTTTGTTACATAATAGTTGAAATCATTTCTTGTGATTCTGCAGGTTAAAGTTCTTTATGTTAGAAACCTTACCCAAGATTGTTCAGAAGAAAAAATGAAGGAATCTTTTGAACAATTTGGCAAAGTGGAAAGAGTAAAAAAAATTAAAGACTATGCCTTTGTTCACTTTGAAGAACGTGATAGCGCTGTAAAGGTGAGAATTAAGTTGAAGTAATTTAAGTGTTCTATGATTTTATCTCTAGTGTTGGTATTGCTGCTCTGAATCAGTTCTGTCTGAATAGTCAAATCATTTTATCTTGAATGTCTTTGGTTTAGGCCATGAAAGAGTTGAATGGAAAGGACATTGTTGGTGGTGGATCTGTTATTGAAGTGTCCTTGGCTAAACCACCATCAGACAAGAAAAAGAAAGAAGAAATGTTGCGTAATCGGGAGCGAAGGATGATGCAAATGATGCAAGTTAGAGGAGGGTAATTATTTCTCTACCATTTTTTTAATTTGGCTTAAGATTATCACTTTGTTTTCTATATCTCATCTTCATATGGTATTCATTGTTAGCATGATGCCTACCCCAATTCCAATGCGAGGACCTGGGGGCTCGGGACCTAGGAATAGTGCTGCTATGCGAGGACCTATGGGCAGAGGAGATTATGGTAAGTCATTGAATTGCAGTTCTTCCTCACTTGGCTTGATCACTAACTTTAAGTGGTTGGTTGTGAATCAGATATTGCTTGTTTCTTTTTCCATCTCAAATTCCCGAAAGAAAGGAAAGTTAGTGCAGAGCTGCCTCACTGCCTCACTTCTCAAATTTAGCGCTTAGGCAATACTTAAGGGGATTTCTTTTCACTACAGCTCATTGTCTATCTTACATATTAAAATGTCTTCTGAAGTAAAATGCTATACCCTGTTAACAATCTGAAGACAGTAAATTTTTTCTTTCTTTAGTATTTCTTTGACTATTTCCAGGGTTGTGGGTAACATTTTATTTGTTTCATTTAAAGACATTAAAAAAATATATCTATAACTGACAGAGGCACATTTCTACATGCATATGGTTACCTAAGGTGAAGCTTGGGTGGTTGGGTGCTACAGCAAGGTGATTTGGTATGTTTTCATGGGGTTGTATGCAAAGAGTGCTGCTCTTGACTTCAGAATTATTTTCTGTTGAAGAATTATTTTTTATGGGTGTGGTTCATCACATACTAGTACTACCATTACTACTACTACTACCATTACCACAACTACTACTATATCGGAACGTCAGGGCAATGACTCAAGATTAGTGTCTTTGTGGTAGGAAGTCTAAATTAATTATTTTTACCAAAAAAGCAAATAAAAGTCTTTTTCCTTAAATTTTTATGGGGACTTCCTGTTATGCTGAAATTCTATTTTGCATCCATCCTATCTTCACATTCTACTCTGTCATCGGTCATGGTGACATTTTTCCACTCATCCCACTACAAAGTTAACTGTGCCTTGTTTGTGTCTACTTGAAGCTTGCAATTCCGTGGGAATACTATTTGTTTGCAACTGTTCTGTATGTGGAGGTATCACAAGCTGTGGAAAAATAACCTGCTTCTTGAGAAATATCTCCAAAGGACCTAACTGCTTGAATGAGGGTCAGGAGGGTACATTTCTTGGGATTGTTGTATTTTGTGTGGACCATATTCAGTCTACTTCTAGGAGGAGTGCAGTATGCCCTTAGGCTGTCCCTAGGATTCAAACCAGACTGCCTTTATCTCTTAACTTTCCAAACCTCCCATTTATCATCCTTTATTTTTGTCTGTAGGGTTATTGTTTTCAAACCCCAATTTTCAAGAAGACAAATATTAGATCCTGTGAACACTTTGTGTTCATTTCATTGAACTTAAAATTGGTTACTTGTAGATTAGTCATCTATCTCTGTAGACTTATTTCATTTCAGTGTGGTTTTATCTGTAGGGTGAGTATTTCTTTTAAAAGCTCTCCTCCACCCTTGAAAATCTTAGGCATGCCAGGATTTTACTTTCAAATTTATCTACCTCACTATAACACTTTCTTCTGGTGGTAGTAGTATAGTTAATTACATACCTTAATTTTACTGACAATCTCTGTATCTAGCATGTGTTTTCCCCTCCCTACAACCCTGATTATTTTTACCCTTTGGACTCTGTAAAATATAAAGAAAAGATGGTCTGGTTTTCAAGGTGGCTAAAATTGGGCTTGTTTGTTCTCTTTTTTATTTTAGATTATGATTACGAGTATTTCGGTTATGGGGATTACCGAGGCGGCTACAGTGATCCTTATTACGATGACTTTTACCGCTATGAGGATTACTATTTCGATTATCCGCCAGCTCCACCTGCCAGAGGACGGGCGAGGCAACCTCAGCCGGTGGGTTCCTTTGACTGCTAAAATTAACGTCACACTCTTGCTTTGACAATAATTTATTAGAATGTGGCATAGTTGTTGGACCTTTCTGGTAGAGTACACATGTAACCTTGCTATGCTACATTCAATTTAAATCATATCTGAGCAATTGCATTTAGGCCCTAAAGTAGGGTGCATATTATTATTAGTTTAATCAGTGAAAGGGATCTATCTATCTTGAATACCTGTGGATTGCAGTGCAAATTTTACTTCCTATTGACTCAGATATGATAGTCTTAGGCAGAGGGTTTTATGATTCAGTTTACCGTGCATTTTGCGGGGCAGTGAAAATTTTGATGTTTCGTGATTCAATTGTTATCCTGACCCTCAGAAACGCATGATTTTCTCATAATAATCCTTTCTTTTATTTTAATTGTTGTGTATGTCGGCTGGGGCTTTAAATTAATGCTTTTGCTTCTTTGTAATGCTTCTACTTCTGCATATGTAGCAGCAAATCTGCTAATTTTCATTCAGTGCAGTGGCATTGTGCATTCATTGTGTGTTATTTTCTTAAATTCTCTCTTTAGTTCATCAATCTTAATGCCTCATTCTTATTTGCTGCTGTAATGTAACAGAAGCAGTTCACACCTGTTGGAAAGTATTAATTATTGCCCCTCTCTTTCTTTTTTTTTTCTTTTTTTTTTTTGTAACTAACTGCTATTTAAATCTCATCAGTCTGACAATTTTGGTTAAGTTTATTGATGAAAGTAAACTAAATGCACATACACCATGGAAACTTAATTCCATCTTCAGATCATTTGTTCGGTATGGAACATATCTGAGTGCAATACTATCTATCAGTATGAGGGTAGTGTGGTTGCTGTTTTCTTAAGCACCTTGTTTTAAGTATACCCTTGTCTAAATTCAAGAACTTGTTTAAGAAACTAATTTAAAATTACCTTCTGAATTTTTCTTGTTTCTTCATTTTTTGTTTTTGCTATTGTCAATAGCTTTTCTGTTAATTACCTCTTTCATCTGAGATATATGTAAATTATTGATTATCACTGTGTAAACTGTATTTCCTCAAAAGGGCAAGCATAGTTGCCTTCTCTTATCTTTTCCCTATGCACTTTATTATAAAGCAATTCCTGCATGTGCTAGAATTTTGTGCACATGTTGCTAAGTTTTACAGTGAAAGTAGTGATATAATTTTAGCAAGTGTTATTCTTTTATAACTAGTTGCCATTATTATTTATACTTTTGCTGAATCTGTAATTGCTGTATATTGATCGAAAACGCCAATGTTTTCCATAGCTGTTCAGTCACTTTCTCATGTGTCTCTTTGCTAATCGTCCGTGTTTTCTTGAACAGGCTGGGCGTGGCCGTGGGGCAACAGCGGGAGCGGGCCGTGGTCGGGGCGGTGGTCAGGCAGCGGCGCAGGGTCGTGGGGGTCCGGGGGCCCGGGGGGGGCGCCCGCCCCAGGGCGCAGCTCCAGGGGCCCGTGGGGGAGCGCGGTCGGGGGGCACCGCTCGTGGGCAAGCCCGCGGCAAGGGAAGTTTGTCAGGTGAGGATGGTCTGTATCTCCAAACTTTTTTATTATTTTTATATTTTGTCATTATTTTATCTACTGTAACTGGGTCGGTAAGGAAAGTAGATTGTATGTGCTGTGCATTATCTGAAAATATCAAAATAGAAATTTATTGTTTTGCTTGGCTTGCCTGGTTTACCTGTTTGAGAAATGAAGACACTGTTTATCAGACATGTGCGTTTAGCGCTCGGAGGCCCACTGACTACTGCCATGCCGGCGCCGGCACGGCGTCGGGGCGCCAAACTCATATCTCTGCTATGCTATTTATCCTCAAAGGTTTTGCCAGCAGTTAGCTGAAATTGCTTAGTCTCATTTGAATCTATCGCTTTACTTACAATAATGTATGTAATGAAAGTGCTCAGATGAGATCTGGCTAACTTTCTGGATTATAGGTCTTTCATCTCATTTGTGTCAGTGTTTAGTTTGTTATCTACTAGCTAAAAATCTATATCTACACTACATTAAACTGAAACTTTGAAATTGAGGCCGAAACAGTTGTGTTGGATTGTCACAATTCCATATTTCTCCTCTGCCCTCCCTCACACTTAAAGTTAGAAAAAATATAATGAAAAAGTTAAAGTTTTGTTTTCAATTTTATGCCAGGCCAGATTGGTCAGAGATATTATTGTACACCTGCTGTAAATCAATCACTACCCACCCTTACCTGACCCAGTTTAGTTTGAATAAGAATTGTCTTTCCAATTGTGTGAAATTGATTTAGAGCTTCAGAGTGTTATACCTAATCAAATATTATACTTCAAAATTGTCACGTGACATTTTACTTCAGTAACTTCATTGGAAAATTATACTGTGATATATCTTAGCCAGTAGAATGCTATTTCAAGCTCCCTTCTAGCTGTGTACTAGCCTCAACAACTTTCGTATCTATGAAAGTTATTTTTGCTTTTATTTCCTAGCCTAGCTCTTGTCCAATTATTGCCATTACCTCTCGCGTCATGTTAAATATATTAGACCTAGATCTTTAAATGATGACAGAATTATTCAATCTCAATTCTGATTTTACATATTGCCTACTATTTAAAAATAGCAGTAGCTTCAAATTTATGTTGCTCATGCATTTTGGAAGTCAATTTTTTAAATCTTAGATTGCGGTTACTTAGTGCAAGTGTTATGTATGTAAATATAATTAATTGGACTCGTCGGATTTTCGTGTGTTACAGGCAAACGCAAGTTTGATGGAAGTCACCAGAACCAGGGGGAAACTAAGCGTCGTTACCAGAATACATGGAGCAATTCTCCAAACTCCCACCAGCACCTCAATAATGCCTATGGTGTAGGCATGAATGGAGGTGGCTTTGGGGGTAGTGCGGAACCTCAGTTTTTCCAAGACACCTACACACCTTGGAGTTAAACTGTCTGATGTGGACTGCATTAGTGGAATATGACTGTGACTGTTGCCTATTGGAAGGCCGTCCATTGACTTGCTTACTATCCGTGAAACGGAGCTAAGTCAGTAAATGTTATATGTGTGCGAGCATTTGAGGCTCTTGAAATACAAGGATCACTGTTAAGGAGTGTGGTCTAAGAGTGATGTACAGACTTTTTTTTTATTGTTAATGGTGGTTGTTGAAATGGAAGCTAGAAAGGGAGGGCCCCTCTTCAATCAAGATTACCATTTGGCCCTGGCTTTTTAGTTTCCATTGGATAGTTATTATCAAGAAAGCTTTCATTGTCGATTGTTGCTCATTATTTAAAACCTTGAACATCTCCTCGTACCATGTGTTTTGACTGATATAAATGGCAGAGAGAGCTGCAAATGCCATAGGAATCCGAAATGAACTATCAATCAATCTGTCACCTCTGTAAGGAAACCACACAGGTCTCATGTATGTGCATGTCTGGTCTATTTTGGCTTCTGACTTAACTACAATGCTTGCCTCATATTATAGCATGAGACCTTTTTATTTTTCATTAAAGCATGTCTTAACTGGTGTCACCTTTCACTCAAACCTCCCTCTAGTTCTGGAGACAACAAATGCTTTGAGGGACTGTTCAATCATTGGGAAAGTCTCTTGCAATCTTGAACATTGCAGCTGTTTTTTGTCTTTAAATCTTTGAATCCTTTATTTTCATAGATACTTAATTGAAAGAATGTTAATGGATCATGTGGTGATGTAAGACAGGTTGTCAAGTGCCTGTTAAAAGAAAAGAACTTGTTTGTTACTTTCTTTTTGTATGTTTACTTTTATTGCCACAAATGTATTTTTTTATAATGGAGGGTATTAAATTTCTTATTATGAAATGGCATGATTTTGAAGGCCATGTTATCCTTTTAAGATTGATCCTTAATCAGGGGACAATACCATTCATGTGATCACTGTTTGTACTCCTCAACATCTGGATCAAATGTGGGAGTCTATTTTGAATGACAAATGTTACTTGATTATGTTTGTAAGTTCAATGACGAATGTTGTTTGATTATGTTTGTATGTCATGCAAAGAGTATAGACTTGTGTCACTAGGGGATTGAAAATTTAAAGAACAAAGCCTATTTTCACAAGGAAACAGCTCTTTGCTTTTGTTAGTTTAGCACCTAAGTGTTGGAAAAATACTTCTGTTTTTTTTTTTTTACAAATTCTTTGCAACTTCTGCTTTTTTCCCTATATTTTTCCCTATTAGTGTTTGAAATTTTAGTGACTTTTGTCTGTTAGATTGCTTTGCTTTTTCACTTTTAACCTGCCTTTCAAAGTGTTCTTGATATGAATTAGTACTGTAGAAAAGAAAATCTAAATATATACATTTTTTAAAAAGAAAAAAGAATGAATTGCTTGATCCGTCTGTCAAGATGTTGCCTTTGAAGGTCAGTATATGCAACTACTCATAAGGTTTTAAAATAAAATCAAAAAGATTCCTGTGGACAGTTTGGTGCTAAAAGTTTCCAAGCCCATAAATCATCAATAAAGTACAAAGCAGGATGAACTTTGTTCTTATTTCTTATGCACAGCCTAGTAGCCTGTATCACTTGGCGTGGAAATATTTTACTAACAGCTACTGTCCAAAACAATTTTTAAATTTATTCACAACACTGGTCACAATTTTAAAATTGACACTAGTTTACAGATGTTGTTAGTTGTGCAAGAGACATGTACTCAAGACCGTTGCACCGAAAGACTAGAACCACTTCTTGAGATCTCATACCCGTGATCATCAAATAGTAAAATAAATATCTTTACAACTTGGAAAATTCATAAGATATTACAGCCTGAATATAATAAATAGTAAGTACTTAACAATAAATTAAATATTTAAAACAATTATCACAATCATATTACATAGGTCATTTGTAGATAAGTCCACAATTTAAATGGCGGCTAACTTCAAAAGATGTATCAGCTGAAATGAATCAGAGTTTGAACTCATCATCCGAGTCTGACACAAGTAAATGCTGATTTTCAAGCAAGTTTCTGAAACAAACAAGTATTGGAGTTGAATAAAAGTGGCATTAAAAGCATTTCAACTTCAACCATTTCACTCTTAAATATTTTAACTGTTTCTCATGGTTGTTGAGGACATAAGGAGTGGGGGAAAAGGGCAGGGAGATGGCACCGACATGGGCAGGGTGGATTGTCAGGAGGAAACTGGACTCGGCTGAGTATCAGACAAATATTTAAATCATACCAAATTTAAAATTAATATCTTACAAGACAATGATGGTCTTCAATATATTGTGTCTGAAATGAAAAGAAAAATCTGAAACAACTTTAGTAACTTACCTATGGTGTTGAGGAATTATGGGCTCTGCATGTGATCTATCATTTAAATCTCTGCAGAAATGTAGGATTGTTCCAGCAATGATCATAAAGAGTACTACGGCAATCATACCGAAAACTGGATAGATACATGAATCAGACATTTTATTAAAGTACTCCACAATGATGCAAATATCACAAAATACCTCATGAAAACTTACACCAGTACATCCACAAAGGAGATGAATGTTGGCGTGTTATGCTTCCTGGGGACTGAGTAACATTTCTTTGTGTTTGTTGTTCTGTCGTTGAAGAAATGGAAGGAGACGAACTTGAAAGCAGCATGGTTAAGTTCAGGGTTGATTCCACTTCATGTTCTATTTCAAGGTTTAAAATATGTGCCCACAAGGAATACAGTTCGGTTGTATTAAAAGGATCCAACCTGATATGAGGTTTTATTAAAGGTCCCCAAGCAAAAAACAGTGGATGCATTGAAGACAGTGTATTGGGGTATCCATGTATACCATATTTGTTTCTTGGGTTTGCTGCAAATAAACACCATTTTGGTATTAAAAAATATCACGATACAACAAATCAATTGTGAAATCCAATAAATTCTCTTACATTCTATATCAAACTTCTTATTTAAATACTCAATATTTTTATACATGTCTTGGAAGGCATATCCTTCCTTAGCTACAACTAGAATTGGAGAAGTTCTGTTGTTCTCAGAATAATGCCATGTGCTAGGTATTTCTGATTTAGTATACACATCAAATACAGGTCCATATTTTTGTCTTGCTTCCCGTAAGCCAGAAATCACACTGTTTTCTAGACCTGCAAATAAAAGTTTTCTATTAGAGCATGAAGAATTGCTTTGTTTATTTTGAATCGCTTGACCCCCATGTCAAGACTTACCATCATTAGGAAATATTTGTAATACAGGAGAGCTTCCAGCAGTGATATAAGAAGAATTGTCAACATATTTATTCAAATCTATAATGTTTCTTTGGTCCAGATTGATCATTCCATGATCACTAACAACAAACACAGTAACTAGGTGATCCAAACTATGTTTTTTAAACTGCTGATAAATATAATCAAGATTTTTATCTAATTTTTGGATTTGTTCCCGTACTTCAGGTGAATCAATACCAAATGCATGACCATGCAAGTCGGGTTCTTCCAGATACAGCATAACAAGGTTAGCAGGTGTGTTTTCATTCATGAACCATGATAAAACAGTATCAACCCGTTCTTGGTAGCTGACTTTTTCATCCCATTTCTGAGAAAATGTTGGCTTCGTCTTTTTGCAACCATAAGCAAATTCTCCACCAGGCCACATCATTACACCACTGTGACGGCCCTTCCCAGCTAACTGGTTTAAAGTCTGGAAAAATTATTAAGTTGAAATATTAACGTACTGTTCATTAAGCGTGTAGAAAATATAGCTACACGATGAATGGATAGCAAGTAGAAGGTCGGAAAATTGTCACCGAGAGACTTGATATAGTAGTATTTCAGAAATACATCTTACCCATATTGGTAGAATGTCATTGTTATAGTGGTAAAGCTCATAGCTGTACCCAATCAATGAGCGATTAGCACAGTCATCTTTGGAAGTATATACAGTGCTGTCTAGCACTCCATGCACTGCAGGGTACACCCCAGTAGCAATACTGTGGTGGTTGGGGAAAGTCTTCGTCGGGAAGACATTTTTCATGAAAGGTGCAAACGCACCTGAGGATCGAAGCTTAACAATAGTGGGGGTTAAGCAGTCGTCAACATAGTCTGGCTTGAATGCGTCCATAGATATGACCAACACCATGGGAAACTTTGATACTGACTCCACAATCTGGTGATCGGCTACGAAAAAGCTGAGTAGAAATAGCATTATGAACCGCGTGTTGGAAAGGCCTCCATTTCCAGAGAGACTACTGTGCGACATATATTTCCCAATGAATCTCTTGAACATATGGAACATATTTCCAAGACAGCAGAAAGATTTGGTTTGTTTGTTTACAAACCGCTGCCCTCCTAAAAAAACAAAAAAACACAACAGTATCAGCTGAGATGTCGCACCACCACTCCTGCCAACTGGGGTCCTCAATAACTCTACTCCCAAACGAGTGAACAGTCACTTCATCTAACTATGGCCAAGCTGAAGTGGACTTGATAAACCGCAAGGCCTCAGTTGGGCCAGTGTATTAAGTCAAGCTCCCCTACTATGTTCAGTATTTTGCAAAAAGTGTTCGTCCGTTTGTTTCTCACGTTCCTTGTTCTACTCCCCGCCCCCCACCCTCGCACACATACCCGCCAGAGAACGCGGGTTTGTGCGAATGACATCAAGGTGATGTCGAGTGTCAAAAACCTTGACACTGACATCAAGTCGAAAAACCCTAATAGTGTGGGTGATTCTCTCACAGTAGCTACAGCCCATAGCGCGAGGCACCTCCGTGATGCTCTAGCGTAGCGTAACAGGGCAATTCCAGGAGAAATTGACAAAAATGCCCGTCCGTCACGCGATTTGTGAGCGACTGGGAGGCGCTAGGCCTACGTTGTTTTACAATACATGTCCTGACTCCCCCTCAAGACGCATCCCAGTCATGTTTCGATAGGAAGCCGTAGCACCTCTCAGTCGCTCAAATTCAAGTGACGAACGGGCACCTCTTCCTGGAATTGCCCAACAGCAGCGGCGAGCTACTGGATCCAATAGTTATGATTGTTTATTGAATAGAACGCGTAGGAGATGGTTCAGAGAGAAAGGAGAGATTAGAAGGGGAGGAGCGGGTGAGAGGAGAGGGTCACAATTCCCTCCTTTCGCGTTCCTAGGCCCAATCCACCCCAGGAGGGGGAGGGGGGCTCACTGAGAAAGTGATCGAATTGAACGAATGAACGAACGAGAGGTGGATCGGTGGATGAGCGAACGGAGAATCGAACGCGCCATAAGAGCCAATGGGGTGCGTTCGATAGTTCGATCACAGCAGCCGTTCGTTCACCGGCCTGGGCGGCAGCAGGGACCGAGCGGGCCGAGCGGCCGTCCCGCTTGACAGGACTGCAGCGCGGGTCGGCCTAGCCGCCCGGGCGTTTGCCGCCTTGCCGCCACCCGCTCGCTCGCTCGCCCAAAGACTGAGCGCTGTCCACAAGCCTCTCGCACTTCACCTCACTCGTGACCACGCTGAGGTACCCAGCAACATATTTTCCAGGGTGGGTCCCGCACGTCGCGCATGGATTCCTGGCCCAGACCGATGCGATTGAACTGGTGACTCGTGGCGGCGTGCGTGCGGTAGGCGTAAGGAGCGGCGCGGCTGTGAGCGAAAAATAAATAAATAAATCCTGGTTCCTGCTGCCTGGCATCACTCTCACCCGAGGTAAAGTAAACCTGGTAGCTGAGTGAGCGGCGGATATTACAACGAACTTTCGGGGGAAACCATGAACCAAGATTCTGTCGGACGCGGTTGGCGATTATACCGTCGCAAAAAGAGTGCTGATTTTAGTCACTACAAATGATAAAGATTAAAGCATCTCTGTAAATGGGGAGAAAGGAGAGCCGCAGGAAAAACGGGGGCCTTTACTTTTGGAGTAAGGGCCCTAACGTGACGGCTTATTTGCGCGCCGTCGAATTCGTCGCAATCGATTCGAAATAATTAATTAAGTACGCGTAATCTGATGATGACGCCCGAGCACGAGGGAGGTTGGCAGAGAGCTCCGTGGGTGGATACCGATGAGCTCCCGCAGGTAGATAAGAGGATCGAAAAGCTCCCCCCTCTCCCTTTTCATTCCCCATCCATTATCCAGAGCGCAAACACCGGACGCCAACTGCAAATGCGTTCGATGAGCTGGAGTCGCTTTCAGTTGGAATCGCGTCGTGGGAGGAGTGCCATTGACTGGTAATGATCCTTTGTTTGAGAACGCTTTGGGCCTCCGCCGTGTGTTTCACGGGGGGTCCTTTACTATAAATACAAGCGTACACCGATTTTTCTGTTGTTTCTGGATTTTTTTCCAGATTTGTCTGATTTTTTCTGAATTTTTCCAAGATGTTTTCTGGATTTTTCCTGAGATCTTTCCACTTTCTTTTTCTTTTTTTTTGGGGGGGGGGTTAGACTGATTCTTTGCGAGTGAAGTACCCTCGGTGTTCGGGGTGTTCCAGCCGGGCCGTCCGAGTCCCGGGGATGGACTCGCGGCGCGATGTCCGCGTACCCGTCGGACTACCCAGGGCCGCCGCCGGGCGCCGGGCTGCGGGTCCTCGACCGGGCCCAGCAGGCCGTCCAGGACGCAGACGACAAGGACGGGAAGGCGGCCGCGGCGGCGCCCGAGGACGACGTGTGCTACCACAGCCTGCGGCCCATATGGCTCGCCATGCAGGTCCTGGGCTTCTACCCGATGCACCGCCTCTGTCGGGGTGAGAGTCGACACAGACACCAAAGCGGCGGCACCAACTGCGCAGTATAACGTCATTTTGTCGTCAAAATGACTCAGTTTTCGACTAAATTTGGACTATGCTCCCCGCCCTTGCCGCGTGCAGACATCTAGATCACTTACAGTGACAATTTCTATCATCTGCTAATAAGTCTGGATTAGAACACCCGCCATGTATTGACGTCAACATGTGACTGTCAGGACGCCGCCCCCGGGAGCCGTCGCTGTGGCTGGGCCTGAGCACGCTGCAGTTCGGCGCGGTGGTGGCGTGCATGGGCCTCGCCGTCGCCGAGGTGCGGGGCCGCGCCGACGAGGACCAGGACTTTGACGGGGTCGTCATCGACTACCTCGTGTACATGCAGTGCGCGCTGCCGCTGGCCGTGCTGCCGCTGTACGCCTCGCACAGGTCCGCCATGGCGCAGTACCTGCGCGACTGGGGCGCGCTGCAGGTAAGATGGGGCTGAGGTGCAGGTGACCCGTGACTGCGCTTGACCCCGCGTATGGGTTCCGCAGGCCGACTTTGCCCGCGAGTTCGGCCGGTCGCTGTCCTCGTGCCGAGGGTTCGGGCCGCGCCCCTCCTGGGAGATGGTGACCATCGTGGGCGTCTTCTCCCTGCTGGTGGCCGGCGCCCAGGCGCTGCTGAACCCCGCCATCGTGGTGCTCGCCCTGGTGCACTCCACCCTGGTGTCCGCGCTGCTGACCAGCTCCTTCTACCTCCACGGCCGGCTGCTGCGCGCCGCCTCCCGCGCGCTGGCCGACCACCTGGCCCTGGTGAGTGTCGTCGCGAAGCACGCCGCACCACACGGGAAAAATGATTAGCTGTGTAGCTAAACCAATAGCCGTGTAGCTAAAAACATAGCTATGTAACTGAACATTTTGCTCTGGTTCCCTTGGATAGCTAAATTTTACGCGAGATTGTGACATTTTTACCTACAGAGCGAAATACAGGGAGACCCCTTCCTTTATTTTGCTTATGCTGTACCGGATGGAGGCCCGCGGACGGGTTGCATACTCGCACGGGGCTAGAAGGCGCCACCGTAAGCGATGGTAGCCAAGCCCGCACGCACGCCTGCATCCGGTATACGGCATAAGCAGAATAAAGGAAGGGGTCTGTGGAGAACCCTGTATTGGCTTAGCGACGCAGTCAATCATTTTTAATTTATTTTTTACATGCACCACTTGATTCTGCGCTTGACGGCGTGCCCCAGGAGCTGCGCCGGCCCGTGCCGCGCGTGGCGGCGGTGGACAACATCCGCCTGCTGGTGCTGCGCGTCGTGGCGCTGGGCGGCGGGCTGAGCTCCGCCGTCGCCATGCCGCTCGGGCTGCTGCTCCTGGCGCACTTCATCCTGGCCACGCTCACGCTGTACGCCGTGCTCGGCCAGGTGTCCTACACGTACGCCGCCCGCCTGCCCTCCCTCGGCACGGGCACAGCGCTCAGCGGGCTGCTGCTCTACCTGGCCTGCGACACGGGCCACCGCGTGGCCAGGGCGGTGAGGGTCGTGTGACGTCCTTCACTATAAACCGGCATACACCAATTTTTCTGTTTTTCTTGATTTGTTGTGATTTTCTCTTGATTTTTTAGTGATTTTTTGTAACTTTTAGATATTTTTTTGTGATTTTTTCCGACTCTTCGTTAATTTTTAATGATTTTTTCGTGATTTTTTTCATGATTTTTCATGATTTTTTCGTGATTTCTTCTAAGGGTGTACACTGATTTTTTTGAGTGAAGGACTCCTCGCTCAGCACGCCCGGCCCGGCCCCGCACCACTGTAGCTCTGTGTGTCCCAGGTCAAGCAGCTCGCCGTGGAGGAGCTCCTCGCCTTCCACAAGAGGACCACCGTCATCGGCGCCGACCTCCGCAAGATGGCAAGTACACACTGTAAATCTGGGGTGGCCAGCAGCTGTGCGACATAAGTCGCGCACTTTTGCAGGACACCTTGAGTTTTGGCACCCTTTCCTTGCAGAGAGGTCCAGGCCCACCTGAGTTAAGGCCCTCCTCTTGTTGGACACCTCTTGCCTGAGATCCTCTACAGTGCCAAAATGCGAGGTGTTCTGCAAAAGTGCGACCTAAGTCGCACAGCTGCAGGACACCCCAGATTTACAGTGTAGAGAGCGCGGCGCACTGACTTAGGTAGGCGTAGGCGTAGGCGTAGGCGCGTCTGTTGAAGTACAACATTGCCGATGAGCACGTTGTTGTTGTAAGGATCGTGTTCTTCTCCAGGTAGAGACGTTCATCTCCACGGTGCAGGAGGTGCCGAGTGACGTCTCGCTCTCTGGCGTGACCACCTTGAACCGGGGGCTCTTCACCGCGGTGGGTAGACGGCACTGTAAATGCAGGGTGGTCCACAAGACCCCTTCCTTTATTCTGCTTATACTGTACCGCATGCATACTGTCGCTCACCGTGGGCGCCTTATGGCCCCGTGCGAGGATGCAACCCGCCCGCCCACGAGTATGTATAAGCAAAGTAAAAGAAGGGGTCTGTGGACCAAACCCGTAGACTGTCTCTACCGATCGCCCAGCTATTGGTATAGGGAACCACAGGCGCGAGTCGCAAGGCGCGCCCGACGCCGCGGGTCACGGGGACGTGGTGTGGTTCACCCCTCGGACGCGGGGCCTGCGCGTTGGAACCCACATACTGTTGCAGATGCTGTCCACGATGGTGACGTATTTGGTGGTCATCGTCCAGTTCCGCATCAGTCTGGAGCAGGCCGGCAGCGACAAGGGCGCTCGCCCAGGCACCGCCAACAGCAGGTACTACTATACTATGGCCCGAGACTTTCAGACGGACGCCGCAGCCATCAAACTCGGGTCTGTTCTGTTTCACGCGAGACACGATCTTTTCGCTCCCAGCACAACACTGCCGGGGAACGACTCGGCCATAGAGCCAACGACGACGACGACGACGACGTTGACGTGGTCGGGCGAAGGCAGCGCCTCCCCGTCGCCCCCGACAACGGTGGTTGACAACACCACCCTGAGCGTCTAGGAAGCGTGGACGCAGCCACATTCAATAAATAGGAATGGCTGGTTATTGTCTCTTTAACCCCCTTATCCTCGCTCTCTAAATTAAGTAAAACATGGCCACAAAAAAATAGCAAGACCAAAAAAGTCAAACAAAACAATCGACTCCATTTAAAATGGGTCGTCGCGTTCCTGCTCACTGGACAGGAGAGGCGGCGCCAGGTCACCCTCGGGTCGCTCGCTACGCCAGCGCGACTCACTGTGCAAATCTACGAGTCATCGCGGATCCTCCGTAGTTCTCGTTTCGAATCAGGCTGGTTCGTCCAGCGAGATGCCCCCCCTCCCCCCCTCCGGTTCCGACCTGCTTGCAGCCTGCCTGCGCCCGCCGACTCCAGCGCTCCCTCCGGTCAGTCGCTACCCCGGGGTCGCGATGAGAGGCAGGCGGGGCTGCAGTCTGTGATCGCCTAGATCGACATGCCCAGCGGCTCTCCGCGCACGAGCCCGAGCTGGTCCCGCAGCTGCTGAGTCCTCGGCACGGCGTGGTCGTCCGCGCGGTCCTGCTCCGTCGCCGTCCTGGTCCCGGTCACCGAGCCCCATGACGGCCGCTCGACGGGGCCCCGGTGGCCCCGCCCGCCCGCCTCCCCTGGGGCTCCTGCCCGCCCTCACTCTCGCCCTCCTGCTGGCGCGCGCGGCGTCCACGCCCTCCTCGTCGTCCTCGTCGTCGTCCTCACCGCCCAAGCAACCCGCGTCGGCGGGCGTGACCCAGGTCAGTGTACTCGCCGTGCGGAGACGCCGGCGAGGTAGGCAACAGCCACGCAGACGTGTGCTGTGAAGTCATGTTGCCTACCTCGCAGGCCGCAGGCGGCGGCCCCCGGGCCCGGCGGACTGCCGCCGTTGCTAAAGCCTCGCGTTCTCTGCTCCCAGGACTACGCCACCGCCCTGGAGGTGCCCACGGTCACGGTGCGGCCGGACATCACGAGCCGCTCGCTGCAGGACGCCGGCGAGACCACTGCCCTCTCAGGTGAGTTAGGCTGCGCACCCGTCTGCCCAGCTTTCTGACCTGAGTCGCCACTCACTCACCCCTCTGCCGTCGACGCCCAGGTGACGGTCCACGGCGGAGGCCGCGCGAGGGCTGGGACATGGTGGGCCCCGGGCTGCTGGTGGGAGGCACGCTGGCCCTCCTGGTGCTGGCCGCCGTCGGCCACCTCGCCAGCAAGGCCCTGCTCGCTTCCATGCTGTCCGCCGCGCTGTCCGCCGTGCAGCTGGCGCGGCCGCCGCCTCCGAACCGTCCGGGATAAGGGCGGCGCTGAGAGGTGCTGCTGCTGCTGCACCGGCCGGGTGCATTGCTTCCAAAGCAAGAATCTCCTCGACGGATCAATGACATTTGACGTCGATCCATTGTCCTTCCTCAGTGCAGACTTAAGTGACGTAATGCGCCCTGGGCGCTTGAACTCCTCTACACAATCATTGGTCTCGTGTGTCTTTAGTCCCAAGTGGATATTGGTGGGACATTTTGATTGGTAGTGGTATTGACAGAAAAGAAGATTTAGTAACTAAGTAACTTTATTATAGGGACAAGTCATGAAGAAATTTCATTAAAAAGAGCATTGTTATTAACAAATGCAAGATATTACAAATTCAATAATTTAATAAAATATCTCAAAATCAATAGCGTTTCTTCTGTTTTTTAGGTTTAAATGAAGGTTTTTTGACACCTAGCGGTTTACCCTTGCCTTTACCTTTGCCATTCGGTCTTCCACCAGACGCTTTTCCCCCAGTGAAGTTTTTGTAGCCCTTGACCCACCTGTCTCTTTGTGCCTCCCAGTTCAACTGCTTGAGTGCTGTAAAATCAAAGAGAATTAATGTTATCATTTATAAATCACAGATGCATATCTAAGTTGCATGGATTCCTGTTTGGTTTTTCAAAAAAAAAAAAACAAAAAACAAAAAAAAAACAACTTACATGATTTGTCTTTATTAGAGACAGCCGACGAACTACCCTCTCTAGCAGCACCTGCAGCTTCCAATAATTCTGAAAATTCCTCTGCAGATGCAAAGACTTCTGAATCCATATCCTTCTTCTTCTTGTGACTCTGGAGATTAGATAATTCATCACATTAGTAGATAGAAATTTGTTATTATGAGGCTTTACAGAAGAACTTATACATACCTTTGAAGGCCCAGGTTCATCAATTTCCGCATCCGAGTCATCAAAGTCCATGGCTTCCGCATCATCATCCAGATTGTCAAAATCAAAATCATCCAGATCTTCATCCCCCTCAGGATCTTCTCCACCAGCAATATCATCCTCCCCTTCAAGTTCCTCATCACCATCAATATCATCATCATCGCCAAGCTCATCATCATCCATACCTTCATCTTCATCAAGATCATCATTACTGTCTCCTGCTTCATCACTCTCATCATCCTCATCTGAAACCAAACCCAAAATAAATTACACATGAAAAAGAAGAGAAATCGGTAGGTTGGTTGGTCTGTGGCCCATGTCAAATTACAGATACTCATAGCTATTGAAAACATACCATCTTCATTATTCCTCTTGGACTTCTTAGATGACATGTTCTTGCTGTATTCATCAGCAAAGTCAACTTCAGTATCAAAGTCACCATCATCGTCATCTATATCCTTTTTGAAACCCTTCTTTTTCATGAGATCTTCCAGCATATCTTCAAACTCATCACTGGCCACACTTTCCATATCACTGTCTTCATCATCCTTGTGCTTTTCTTCCGCAGCAAGACGTCTGCGCTGTAAAAATCTAAAGTTTTTGGGATGTTTTGTAGTTAGTATAAGTTTTAAAGTTTTAAAGCTCTAATGCTGCAGCAAATTCAATGCATTTCTACAACAATTATTACTTACTTAAAAAGAAATCTTTCATCTACAGGAACTTTCTCTTCCTCTTGAGTTAAATATCTATCAGATGTAACAGGAACACCCTTAAGTCCTGACACAGAATAATTCTGCCGCTTGGCAAACAGCGAGTTTGAGGTAGTCTCTGATTGTTTTTTAGGATTCTTGAAAGAAAATCGTTCTAAGAAACGAATTAGAGTAAAATCTTTCAATGGATCTCCTGTGTAAGTTATTAATTGATTGTTCAAGATTTGAGAGGCAAATAAGGCAACGGTGGGATGAAAATGAGAAGAAAGCACATTGAGCTCAGTGTACGAGCACAAGTGGCCATTAGCATACAATGGGTTTCTCTGCATTGGATTAAAGCCATCTACTTTAATTTTCTTTTTATCCTCCTTCAGATGAACCCATGTAGCAGACTGTTTTCCCTCTCCACCAGTATCATTACTGGTTTTTTTCATCCTATTTGCTTCCAATTTTTTAGATTCTTCATCCTGTAAAGTTATAGTTTTTATGAAATAACACACAATATCGGACACTGGCAATAAACTTTACATTATTCTGATGGATAGAAAAGTACCTCAAGAGGTACATCTTCATAGTGTTCATCCTCAGAGTCATCATCTAAGAAAGCTGCTGGTAGGCCTTTTGGTGTCTCTTGAGTGCCATCTGTCCCTTCCTCTTTCACTGAACACCCTAAACTGTTTGCTGACAAAGCAGAGCGCTGATGAATAAGTTGCGATACCATGTACAACGTAGCACACATCATAGGAATTGGCAAATGGCAGCAAACCTTGGTATTATTCAATAAATACAGGAGATTGGCATTAGAATTGTATTCAAACATTCAAATATTAGATGAAGGAAAATTTGAGATCAATATAGTATACCTGTAATAGTCTTTTGATAAATGCTTTAACCCTAGGAATACTCTCATCTTTTTTCAAAGCTTGGAAGGTTAGATTTAAAAACATAGGGGCATGAGATGTTTGTCCCAGGGCAGGATCCAACAGTTTACGATAGAGTACTGAATAAAACCTTTAGATGAAAAAATAGTGAAAGTTAAACAACAAATTTCGTAACTACATACTAAATTTTAAATTGTAAAATGTTACCTGTCAGATACATTGTTTTTATAGTCTGAAACCTGGAAGAGTAGACTGAGGCCCTGCAAGCTGACATGGAATGGGGCAATATGAATAACTTTGTAAAGTGTCTCCAACTGTTCTGCTATGCTATCCATTGCCTCACGAGCAAATGGGTAAGCTCGGTTGACTCCTGTGAGGAGAACACTGAGCATTCGAGAATCTACTTCTCCCTTGTTAGAAAAGAAAAAAAAAACACAACAAATAAGATATATACTAAAAATTGAAGTGCCTGATGAACATAATTTCAAGATACTTACCAATTTCACACAGGCTTTAAAAAAGCCAAAATATATTTTAATAATATTAGCAGCAAGTTGAGCATCACCTTTCTTGAACATAATTTGACTTAAAAAACAAATGCTGTAATAACGGGCCTTTTGTCCAATGTTTGGTCTGCAAATAAGTCAAATCAATGGAAAAAGAATTTAGCAATATGAATAGACATCAATTTCAAAAAATCAAAACTCATAGCTACCTGAAAAGTAACTTTTCAACTTCATCCATTATGATTCCTTTCATGTTTGGGTGCTTGGTCACAACTAATGTTAGACAATGCATAGCTTTAGATGCTACCTTTTTGCTTGGGTCTCCCATTTTGTTCACAAGATTTGACAACAAAAGCTTTGATAGAGAGGGAGGTGTCAATTAGTAACACAAACATACTCAATTTAAAATGTTCTTTAGAAGAATCATTTCTAAATGAAAAACACTCACTGCTTCTTGCTCTGGATGGGTTTCTAGTAATGTTGCTAAAGCTTTAATGGCCCTTTCCTTGTTAGCTTCAACTGCCTCCCCGGCAATAGTCCTCAGAGAATCGACAAATTCTCTGTACGCCTCTTTAAGCTGGTCTTCAAAATACCAAGCAACTAGTCGTCGGCGCCGTCCTGCAGGATTTCCAGAGCTTAGCTCATCGAGCATTGTCAGAGGGTGCTGTGAAAATCTTCTTAACTTGGTGTCCGGAGGTAATAAATCAGTGACAAATAACTCTGCCAATAAGTCTGAATAAAGGCAAAAAAATAGATTTATAACAACACTTTGCTAGAAGATTAAAGATGTGGTATTAAAGAACCACATTACCTATGCATGCAACACACTCTTTTTTCCCTGGTTTGACAAAACCTATTAGGGACCTAAGTGCATTGATGTTGTACAGGGGCTTTTCTTGAACCATGAGAATATAAGCTGCCATTTTGTCTTTACCAGTTCCTTTTGCCATGACAGAACGAATCCAGCTTTGCTCTGAATTTTTACTTGCTTCTATAAGAGGCATAAAGAAGATAGTAGCATTGTGTTAGATTACTCTAGGACAAAATCGCTTTTGTAAGAAGTTTGAAAATATATTGCTTACTTATATTGTAGCCATTGGCCTCTGATTCCAACATTAGTCGTGCTTCTTCTCTTAGTTGGTTAACCAGATTGATTGGACATTCTGGAAATTCCTTAGGATCTTCTGGAATCTGAAAAATATGACAAAAGAGGATAAAATTAATCAAGCTCTAGAAATTGTTAACAAAAATAAAATAAAATAATAATAATTTGTAATTTTAGTACACAGGAGAAGATCACTTACAGATGAGTACCACTTCTCTGAAATCTGAGGTGGTGCGTCAAAGTTCATATCTTTGTAGGAATAGTCATCCCCCATCTCATCTGTTGGTGTAGCTTTAGGTTTAGGTTTCTGATAGTTTGGGCTCTTTTTAGGACCCTTACTTATATTTTTGGGTGGGCCCTTATTCGGACCCTTAGAACTACCCTTAGGTTTCTTCATTCTTGTTATGATTTGAGATGAATCAGATTCTGAAAAATAGCAAGATGATTACGTTGTGGATCATAATAAATAGTCTAGAGTCTACGGTCTTTAATTATTCTCACTAGTCTCATTAGATCAAAATTGGAGAGTATTTCTTTCGATACATATATCGAATAGTTGCCCTACAGTGTCACATGTGAGAGAATTGCAGAAAACATAACCTCGAGGTAACATGTGTAGCAGACAGCACAAGTTAACAATTCTTCATTAACAATCTACCTTAAACAGATGCTTTCACGCTGCCAGCATTGATCTAGTTAAGTAAAAACGACGAATCCCAAGAGACGCATTCGTCAAAATAAAGCTATTTTTCAGCTAAATGTAAACACGCCACTTAACCTAAGGTTTGCCAGCCGAAATGAAACTGAAAACAAATGAACAAATGACAACGACTTCTTTACAAATTCTTGCAACCTACAAACTGATAAACTGCAAGATTTTTCTAAAAAAAATCCTATTTTGATGTTAAATTTATTTTCTATTTATTATAAATATTTTATTTAATTTTGGAATTGAAGATATGAAATTATTTTGTCCTGTACACTTATGATAAGGCCCGTTGTTTTTTTTACACTGCTACCTATCTTGGTGCTGCGTTCCTTCCCGCACCGCAGTGGTGACACTAGTTTGTTTACGTTCTGCTTGCGTTCTTTCTTCAAATTTTGCAGATATTTTGTTTGATGAAAACTTTGATTTAACTTACACAGGCCACCGTATTAGACCCATACTTTATCTCTACAACGTCCCCGATAGTTATCTCTGTATTCCTCACGTCTTCGGTCCTCAACACCAATTTTCATTATATTGTGGTTAGAGGATCACTCTGTTTTATTTTGCAATATTTTGTTCTTAATTCTTGTTTTAAAATAAATTAATAATTATGGGGAAGAGGAAGAAAGATTTGTCGCCGGGGGCCAAGAAAAAGTAAGCTTACAGTAACGAAACTTCCTTATACCACCATAGTTCAAACCTGTACAAGCTAATGAGCTTAACTTTTATTTACAGATATGACTCTGATTCAAGTGAATCAGAGACGGAAAAGTCAGCTAAGCGTGATCTGCAGGAAAGAGATGAATTTGCTGCTCGTCTCAAGAAAAAAGATAAGGAGAAGACCAGAAATGTTGCGGAAGCACAAGGTATGCAATTTATTATGTACTTGAAAATGGAATGTTTTAGTGTTGTTTTAACATTTTCAGATCTTTGAAATAGAATGTTTTAGTATTGTTTTAACATTTTCATGTCCTATCCTTTTTCAAATTTTAAGGTAAAAGCTATGAGGAAGCTGCAAAGCGTATTAAAATGGAAAAGGGAAACTTGGATAAGCTGATACCAAGTCTCAGGGTGGAGTCACGGCGGAAATACTTGGAAAAGCGTAAGGATGACAAAATAGCTGAGCTAGAAGCAGACATCCAAGATGACGAAATGCTTTTTGAGGAGGATGAGTATGTTACATGTTTTTATTGTTTTTGTGTTTTATTTTATTGTGTCTAGTTTAATATTTACATAGTGCGTATTCCATAGGTTGACAGAAAGAGAAAAAAAGGAACGAGAACGCAAGAAGCAGCTTCTTTACCTAGCTAAAGAACATGAGCGTGCCAGGGAACTTGAGAGAATTCAACGATACCACATGCCTCAAGACAAAAAGGTTTGTCTGTGTTTTTATTTTGAGTCCTCGCAGTGCATGTTATTAACTTTTACTTGATGTCATATTTATGTTTTTAGAAAGGAGATGATAAGTATGAAGAAGTTGATGAGAGAGAAAAGCAACCCCATTCTGAGCAAAAGAAATGGGAGGAAGAGCAGATGCACTCAGCTAGTTGGCGTGTGGGGGCTAAAGGGGGTGTGAAAAAGGAGGATTACGATTATGTGTTTGATGAACAAATTGAATTTATACAAGCTCTGCGCATGCCTGGTGATAAAGAAATGACTATGAAGGTACCAGTATTATTACTATTTTAAGG